TACATGACATAGACACTGTGTCTGTATCTACCACTAACCCGTACATGACGTAGACTCTGTCTCTGTGTCTACCACGAACCCGTACATGACAGACACTGTGTCTCTGTGTCTACCACTAACCCGTACATGACATAGACACTGTGTCTCTGTGTCTGCCACGAACCCGTACATGACGTAGACTCTGTCTCTGTGTCTACCACTAACCCGTACATGACGTAGACTCTGTCTCTGTGTCTACCACGAACCCGTACATGACATAGACACTGTGTCTCTGTGTCTACCACTAACCCCGTACATGACATAGACACTGTGTCTATGTGTCTACCACTAACCCGTACATGACATAGACACTGTGTCTGTATCTACCACTAACCCGTACATGACGTAGACTCTGTCTCTGTGTCTACCACTAACCCGTACATGACATAGACACTGTGTCTCTGTGTCTACCACGAACCCCGTACATGACATAGACACTGTGTCTCTGTGTCTACCACGAACCCGTACATGACGTAGACTCTGTCTCTGTGTCTACCACTAACCCGTACATGACATAGACACTGTGTCTCTGTGTCTACCACGAACCCGTACATGACATAGACACTGTGTCTCTGTGTCTACCACGAACCCGTACATGACATAGACACTGTGTCTCTGTGTCTACCACTAACCCGTACATGACATAGACACTGTGTCTCTGTGTCTACCACGAACCCGTACATGACATAGACACTGTGTCTCTGTGTCTACCACGAACCCGTACATGACATAGACACTGTGTCTCTGTGTCTACCACGAACCCGTACATGACACAGACACTGTGTCTGTGTCTACCACTAACCCCGTACATGACACAGACACTGTGTCTCTGTGTCTACCACTAACCCCGTACATGACATAGACACTGTGTCTCTGTGTGCACTGCGTAATGCAGCACACGCATTGACACAGCGCGGAGTCACGTGCCACGTGTGGCCACAGTGGTGACGTCACGGCATACGTAATCACCGGAAGTGGTACGGTCGGCCCACAATGCACTGGTATTTGGCACGCGGCGGTTGCGCTCCTTGACCACGCTTCGTTAAACTTCTACAAACATCGTCGACTCGCGTAGACTCCGTTGACTACAGTCGTTAACATCGTTAGCAATTCCTTTGTGAACATCTACAACTTGTTTTTATCGTCAACGTCAAAACGTGAGTACACGTTACATCCCCACTCGGTCGACACGAGATAGACTCCACGTGATAGACACGGTCTCTATGTGCTGTACATACACACACACCGTGTCTACAGCTAACCTGTACATGGTAGACACGGTGTCTATGTACTGGACATATACACACAATGTCTACCACTAACCTGTACATGGTAGACACGGTGTCTATGTACTGCACATATACACACAATGTCTACCGCTAACCTGTACATGCTAGACACGGTGTCTATGTACTGGACACACACAGTGTCTACCACTAACCTGTACATGGTAGACACTGTGTCTATGTACTGCACATACACACACAGTGTCTACCACTAACCTGTACATGGTAGACACGGTCTCTATGTGCTGTACATACACAGTGTCTACCACTAACCTGTACATGGTAGACACTGTGTCTATGTACTGCACACACACAGTGTCTACCGCTAACCTGTACATGGTAGACACGGTGTCTATGTACTGTACATACACACTGTCTACCGCTAACCTGTACATGGTAGACACGGTGTCTATGTACTGTACATACACACACAGTGTCTACCGCTAACCTGTACATGGTAGACACGGTGTCTATGTACTGCACATACACACACAGTGTCTACCAATAACCTGTACGTGGTAGACACAGTGTCTATGTACTGCACATATACACACAATGTCTACCAATAACCTGTACGTGGTAGACACGGTGTCTATGTGCTGTACATACACACACAGTGTCAACCACTACCTGTACATGGTAGACACAGTGTCTATGTACTGTACATACACAGTGTCTACCACTAACCTGTACATGGTAGACACTGTGTCTATGTGCTGTACATACACACAGTGTCTACCATTAACCTGTACATGGTAGACACGGTCTCTATGTGCTGGATACACAGTGTCTACCACTAACCTGTACATGGTAGACACTGTCTTTGTGCTGTACATACATACACAATGTCTACCACTAACCTGTACATGGTAGACACTGTGTCTATGTACTGCACACACACAGTGTCTACCACTAACCTGTACATGGTAGACACTGTCTATGTACTGCACATACACACACAATGTCTACCACTAACCTGTACATGGTAGACACTGTGTCTATGTACGGCACATACACAATGTCTACCACTAACCTGTACATGGTAGACACTGTGTCTGTGTACTGGACACACACAGTGCCTACCACTAACCTGTACATGGTAGACACTGTGGCTATGTACGGCACATACACACACAGTGTCTACCACTAACCTGTACATGGTAGACAGTGTCTATGTGCTGTACATACACACACAATGTCTACCACTAACCTGTACGTGGTAGACACGGTGTCTATGTACTGTACAAACACACACAATGTCTACCACTAACCTGTACATGGTAGACACGGTGTCTATGTACTGGACACATACACACAGTGTCTACCACTAACCTGTACATGGTAGACACTGTGTCTATGTACTGTACAAACACACACAGTGTCTACCACTAACCTGTACATGGTAGACACTGTGTCTATGTACGGCACATACACAATGTCTACCACTAACCTGTACATGGTAGACACTGTGTCTGTGTACTGGACACACACAGTGCCTACCACTAACCTGTACATGGTAGACACTGTGTCTATGTACGGCACATACACACACAGTGTCTACCACTAACCTGTACATGGTAGACAGTGTCTATGTGCTGTACATACACACAATGTCTACCACTAACCTGTACGTGGTAGACACGGTGTCTATGTACTGTACAAACACACACAATGTCTACCACTAACCTGTACATGGTAGACACTGTGTCTATGTACTGCACACACACAGTGTCTACCACTAACCTGTACATGGTAGACACTGTCTATGTACTGCACATACACACACAATGTCTACCACTAACCTGTACATGGTAGACACTGTGTCTATGTACGGCACATACACAATGTCTACCACTAACCTGTACATGGTAGACACTGTGTCTGTGTACTGGACACACACAGTGCCTACCACTAACCTGTACATGGTAGACACTGTGTCTATGTACGGCACATACACACACAGTGTCTACCACTAACCTGTACATGGTAGACAGTGTCTATGTGCTGTACATACACACACAATGTCTACCACTAACCTGTACGTGGTAGACACGGTGTCTATGTACTGTACAAACACACACAATGTCTACCACTAACCTGTACATGGTAGACACGGTGTCTATGTACTGGACACATACACACAGTGCCTACCACTAACCTGTACATGGTAGACACTGTCTATGTACTGCACATACACAGTGTCTACCACTAACCTGTACATGGTAGACACTGTGTCTATGTACTGTACAAACACACACAGTGTCTACCACTAACCTGTACATGGTAGACACTGTGTCTATGTACGGCACATACACAATGTCTACCACTAACCTGTACATGGTAGACACTGTGTCTGTGTACTGGACACACACAGTGCCTACCACTAACCTGTACATGGTAGACACTGTGTCTATGTACGGCACATACACACACAGTGTCTACCACTAACCTGTACATGGTAGACAGTGTCTATGTGCTGTACATACACACAATGTCTACCACTAACCTATACGTGGTAGACACGGTGTCTATGTACTGTACAAACACACACAATGTCTACCACTAACCTGTACATGGTAGACACGGTGTCTATGTACTGGACACATACACACAGTGCCTACCACTAACCTGTACATGGTAGACACTGTGTCTATGTACTGCACATACACAGTGTCTACCACTAACCTGTACATGGTAGACACTGTGTCTATGTACTGTACAAACACACACAATGTCTACCAATAACCTGTACGTGGTAGACACTGTCTATGTACTGTACAAACACACACAATGTCTACCACTAACCTGTACATGGTAGACACTGTGTCTGTGTACTGGACATACACACAGTGTCACCACTAACCTGTACGTAGTAGGCATTATGTGTACGTAGCACACGCACACATCGTGTGGAGTCACGTGACGTGTAGAAAGGATAGTCACGTCACTGCACGTCATCTCAGGAAGTCGTGAAGTCAGCCCACAATGCAGTGGTGTATAGCACGCGTTGGTTGCGTTCCGAGCTTCGGATCTTCGACCAAATTTGGTTTAAACTTCTTATAATATAGTAGACTAACATATACGAAGTTAACAGCGGTCGTAAACATCGACAGTAATTCGTCGTTAACATTTACAACTTTTTTTTTAATCAAACGTAGAAACGTGAGTACAGTGCCGCCACGCCTGTATTTGGTGGCGATTCGGTCCGCACGAGACGCAGACCCCCCCCCCCCCCCCCCCCCCCCCCCCGTGTCAGCTTGAAAACAAAGACACACAGAGACAAATGTCCCACCTAAATGGCCTACGGAAGGCTGGGCTAAGGGCTGTTAGTGAGCGCCTATTTTTGCCTACACGCTTAGGGAGCGTCCATAAATGACGTCACGCGATTTTGGACGATTTAATTCAGTAGAACGTGTTGTCTATATTTATTTAAAGTTGCGCAATTTGATGTGACGTCACATTTCTCAACCCCCCCCCCCCCCTCGTCACACATCGTCACAAATGTCTGACCTCACCCCCCCGTGTGTGTCTGTGCAGTACTTGATGCGGTATGGATATATTCCCACTAGGGAGACAAAGGCGGCTGGACGTGGTGCTGGCCACCCACTCCCTCGTATGCCGTGTCGGCCTTCATAGGTCCTTGCTAACAGCACTTGCTTCTACAATCTGTTTAGGCTATGCGGGGGATTTTTGTATTGGCCTCGTATGTATGTATATTGAACTTATTTCGCACCGTACATAGCCAACCGTGCTAATTGGAGGTCTTGTTTAGTAGCAGATGTATGCTTCTCGCGCCACGATGTCTCTCCGGACCCTGCCACTGGTGCTTCTGCTGCTGCTACTGGGGCCCGTGAGCCCTGCGCTCTGTTGCCTGCGTTGCTCTCCGCTCTTCAATAACGTGCGGAATCAGCTTAAGGAGTCCATACCAGGGCTGAGCATGGACCACAAGAAGGAGATATACAAGGTCATCACAGAGATTGGCAATATGGAGGCCCCCATTCTATGTAAGTGGCGCTATCAAAATCCTGTCCTCTATTCACACATTTTAATCCCAGCTCGCAATCTCTGCTCTCAATCCCAGTTCTGAAAACCCCTCTGTCAATTCCCCACTCTCAGTCCCAGTTCTCAAACCCCTCTTTTCCCAGCTCTCTTTCGACACTCCCTTTGATGTTATTCTGCTCCTGTTTTAGGGCGGTGGTATGGCATTTGTGGTTGCGTGTTCGCCGCTTGTTGCAGAGGGTTTCACGGTTCGAGTCCAGCGGCCGCCCTGGCTATTGCTGCGCTGTGCAATAACCGTAATAAACTACGCACTGTCTGCTTCGCTTAGAGTGGACATTAAAGATCACCCGATGTCATTCGAAGAGTAGGCCGTTGTGTGCTTACATCAGGGTCCAAATGTGTCATATTGGAAAGTGTGCCACAAATGACTACATTTGGATTATACACATTATTGTCCCTCTGCTGGCAGATTAATGCCACCCTATGTCACTCTTGCAAATGACAGTGATCCTTGGTCTCTTTAAGTTCTCACCGGGTTAAACAAAACAATGATCAAAAGTTGAAGTATCGTTGAAAAATTACTTTTTTTCAGTTTTTTTCTTGTAAATATCAGGAGGGTCCTGACAAATTTCGCATTCATGGACAATGCGGCTGTGTGTAATTCCAAACGAGTTATTTGCGGGTACGTTTTCAGCATTGGGATGTTTGCCCAATTCCACTACAATTGTATCGTGTAGTTTGGCTTTGGGGGGAAACCGGGCAACCTGGAGGAATCGCAGAACAGCGACAAAACACGCAAACCTCACGCAGAAAGGCACTCAAGTCGAGAATCAAACCCAACAACTTTTTTTTTGTGAGGCACAAGTGTTTCCACTGTGCAGCCCTGTCGCTTATAAAAAATATATATAATAACCCTTATTGCCATTGCTGTTGATCGTTATGTATTATTAATAGAATCTTACATACCCTAGGTCCTAACGCTTAACCCTAACAGCACCTATTTTGTAACGCATAAAACACGTTGAATTTAACAAACCCAAGCCAAAACAATTAACTGAAATCAATAACACGTAGAATTAATTATAAGCTAATATTGGTCAGAAGTTAAAGGTCGTGTTGCTGATGCTTTAATGGTACTGTCAGGGAAGGTTGACATTGGTGATGCTATCGATGATGTTCATGTCTTCACAGTTGATTATGAGGACGTGGCTCCCGTCTTCCTGAAGAAGATCCTAGACATTATTGACTCAATGAGGCCAGCGGGTGAGCATTACGTACTTCACACACTCACCACCACACTCAACACCACCAACAAACCATCCACAGCAACACTCAACACCACATCAACAAATCATCACACATAACCACGCTCACCAAACTCAGGATCACACCAACACACGTAGCCCCGCACTCACCAACACCCCAAGAAACCATCACACTTGCCACCACACAACTACGCTCACCACCACACACCATGCTCACCGCCGCAATAAGCAAACATGAGTTAAATTAAGCAATGGGCGTCGTGGTCTTTCCTCATTAACACAAATTACTTTCTGACGCTGGTGTGTTGGCAGTGGTGCACACGTAATCAATCATAAACTCAACACATTTGTCAGTAAGACTGTGGCCTTAACAAGAAAATGAAATAAATAGGTGTTGTTTCGTGCAATGGCAGAATGGACGACAAACGACCGCTGGTCGTGTCATACACATTGTGTTTATCGTTTCACATCAATTTAAAGTTTGTGAAGTGGTAACTGTGTCGTGACCCACCCCCGCCCCTACTTTTAAATGAGGTGACGCTGCAGGGTTGCCCCTCACCCCTTTCACCTCCCTCCCCTCCTGTCTCATGCCACTGCTAGTCAATCTCACGCCACACCACTGGGCGAACTCGCGCAGTGCACGGTCTGAGAGTCGCGCTGCGAATGGAAGTAGCATCGGAGTCGGTGCACATTGCCTAATCCGTCGTTGTGGTGTCTGTCTCTATCTCTACAGTACTATTAGGTGGCATCCGAATGGCCAAAAATCCAGGTAACACTTTCATTTTTAATTAGTAGCATTATTGATAATGTGGTGGGTTTAGTCCCTGTGCCAATATGAAGGCGGAGTGGCAACCAGGCTAGTTCTCTCTGCAGAAGGGGACAGCATGTGTACAGCTGGAAACCCCTGAGCAGTTGACTCGAGGAGTCCGGCGTGTGGGCTGGCACGGCTGAAGGAACATTTTCTTGATGCCCAAAAATGTGCTTTGACATTGTGTTTAGCTGCTTAATTATTCGTTTAAAGTTTGCTCAGCGTCGAGTTTGGTGTGTGCCACCTTTAAATAAGATCACGCTACAGGGTTGCACCTCCACCAGTTAACCCTTTCAACCTCTCTCCCCTCCTGGTTTTCACGCGACTGCTAGTCAATCTCACGCCACATCACTGGGAGAACTCACGCATTGCGTGCTCTAAGTAGCATTGGAGCCGGTGTACATTGACTCATCAATTGTCTCTCTCTCTGTGCAGAAAAATCGGGTCCGAAGACCGTCGATGTTCCAGGTAACACTTGAGCTTGTTTAAGTAGCACGTAGGCTTTCGCGACCAATATTATTCATAATAAAGGTTTTTGGGTTAGATCGCGTTATTTATAAATGTATCGTAACTCTCCACCACCCGACACGGCCAATCAGCAAAAAAAGTGTCACATTGACGAAAGACAAAATAGTTAAATTTTGATTTAAAGCTTTCGTGACTGCAGTGATTCATATTCTTGGTTCTTACGAAAGAACCAAGAATACAAAATAGTTCACTACTTTAGCTGGTAATTACATCCAGCATCATCGAGCGAATTGCCCGATGATGGGCTAAAGTAGTGAACTATTTGTCCTTTGTCAACGTGACACTTCTTTGCTGATTGGCTGTGTCGGGTGGTGGAGGGTTACGACACATTTATAAATAACGCGATCCTACCCAAAAAACCTTTATTATGTTTAAGTAGCGTTGACAGGAATACTGTTGCATATTTGTCCATGCAGTCAGTTGCTGGAAGTAACGGATGAATTCCAATCACCATTGTGCCCCCCCACTGTAGATGATGAAAGTGAATTTGTCTCATCGGTGGAAACTTGATGCAGACATCTGAGCTGCCGCAAACCGAGGCCTAAATAAAACATAATTTAGAAACAGTAAAAACGATTTAACAAAAACATCAAGCACACTTGGGTTGTGTGAAGAAAGTTCCAGAGTGCCAACGAAAAGGGGGAGTCAGACAAGGTGGCACGCTTTTACAAACATTATTCACAGCGACATCAGGGGGGTTTGGCCAGTTTCATGTAAAGGCGTGTTTCGCTGGGAGCGGGAAGGAATCCGTACCCAGAGAAACCCCGTACGTCTGAGGGGGATAGCACCCAAAGGCCAACACAGACAGATTCAAGAATCCACTTGATGTACCGCCAGCCAGTTTGGATGAAAAGTCTACGTGATCCACCAACCGAAATTCTGGTTTGTAGACATGTGGCACCGAATGTGGTTGATAACTAGAGAAATTGTAAGAATTGTAAAATGAGAAACTATTCAGGAAGTGGTCCAGAATAACTCACCATTACATAATTTTTCATGGTAATACTGGTGAATGTGTGCTGATGTTTTTAGTGATCGCGATTGTGGTGATGGTGTAGATGGTACAGATATTGACGGTGTTCTTGTTTCTACAGATGTTCTGTCAAGATTAATGGGCGTCGAAGGAGAATACGAAAAAAAGATTGAAGGTGAGAGTGAAACTGGAATTGAGAGGCTGAGGCCAAACGCGTGCTTCCCATGTCCAGTGTTTAGCCGTAGGGCTGGCTCTAGATCGGAATCGTAGCCGCGCTTTATTTTGTTTTGCTTTTGGCATGTTGGGTGACCCAGGTCACTCGTGCAAACAAGACTCATCTCGGTCTCTGGAGTTCCCACCCGGTGGCACAAAATCAACTTGAAACTGGAGACTTGGTCAGCGTGACCCAAACAACATTCTCCCCAATCCTTCGCCCACCTGTGCTTTCCGAAACAAGTTCACTGGGACTGCGATTGATCAAGACGGGAAATCAGGGCAATGAGACACAATAGAAGTTTCAACGTTAAAACCTTAAATTAAAAAGCATTTTCAAACTTGGACTATGGTGTATCACAACAAAAGATGGCCAACTATAAGCTCCGTGGGTAATTCAGGTGTCTAATACCGCAGCAGAGGCCTGAGTGGGCACGGTTGAGACACTGGGTTTGATTCCGGCCAGTGAATTCAATGATGAATCCTGCTGAGTGCTCCACGAATGGGTATTGAGCAGCCAAAGATTTAATGAAGAAAAATCTCAGGTTAGACATTCATCAGCAGCAGCAGCAGCAGTCACCATGTTCAATCCACTGCTGAAGGCTTCCTCAAGCAGTTACCGTATGTCACAGTCCTGCGATATAACAATCCAACCTAGTGCCTGCAGATGAGTTCAATTGATCAGGTGCCATGGCCATTGCATGATTGTCCTCTCTGGTTCTTTCGGTAAAGTCACCGAGCTTATAGTTGGCCAGCAAAATTACTACACCTGATGACGGAAGCTTGTGTTGCCTCCGAAACGTCGTGATTTGATTAACTTTATTTTATTTTTACCTACGTGACTTTACCGAAAGAACCAAAGAGTACGGATCATTGCATGATTGTTCATTTGTGATTGCGATCATCGCTCTTGTTCTTTTCTCTACAGAGATTACACAGGCGCCGTGCGAAACCTGTGGTAAGTGATCACATCCCAATCGACTATGCACACACACACACACCCACAGCACGTTCATTCATTCTACACCTGATTTGTTGTGAACAAACTCTTAGCAGAGCTGGTGATTTTTTTTATTTAAAGCTTTCGTGACTGCAGTGATTCACATTCTTGGTTCTTTCGGTAAAGTCACGTTGAAGGGAAACAATAAAATAATAAAATATATATTGAACAATAAAATTCTCACGACGTTTCGACTGTAACACAAACAGTCATCAGTCATCATCAGGTGTGATGATGACTGTTTGTGTTACAGTCGAAACGTCGTGAGAATTTTATTGTTTAATATATATTTTATTATTTTATTGTTTCCCTTCAACGTGACTTTACCGAAAGAACCAAGAATAAGAATTAGAGCTGGTGATGCTACATTGTCACATGCTGGGTAAAAAAATAAGTTACAAACTGTTACTCATCTTGCCCATCACCAAGAGACTCTTCTGCGAGAGTCAACACCTTCACACATTGCATGTTGTCATCATGTTCGTCACGGACAGCCAGTCGGTTGACTGCTAGGTAATGGCCTTGCCTTCTGTAATCATCTCCCTCCCACGAGTGGATTCATTCATTCTCTCACTCAACAGTTACCATTTCTGGTGCTACATTAACTTTATTTCCGACTACAAGAAGTACAAATTATTTTAATAAAAACTCAAAATGCCACACATGTAACTACAATGGCGACATATCAGAGAATCTGAATGTTTATTCACACTGGAGGAATCCCGTTAGCCATAAAGCCATTTTATGCAGACGTCCAATAAGGGCGGATCAGAACATGACAACAACAGACAATACAAAATACAATAGGAGTGCAAAGTACAGTAAAACCTTGGATTGCGAGTAACTTGGTCTGCGAGTGTTTTGCAAGACGAGCTAAAAAATGTAAATAAATATTTATTTGATAAACGAGCGAGGGTCTTGCAATACGAGTAGTAGCACGTATATGCTTTGTCTGCCGAGCGTCACGTGATCACAACTGATATACGAGTGCTTTGATATACGAGTGCTTTGGATTAGAAACACGTTTCCGGAACGAATTGTGCTCCTCGCAATCCAAGGGTTTTACTGTATAGGAAAGGTAAACAAATCACCACACCACCCACAAGGACCCCCGAATAGCCTTTAACAGACTGTTGTAGCAAGTTCTGTTAGCGAGCACCTATGAAGGCCGGCACAGCACACTTAGAGGGTGGCTGGCCAACACCACGCTCGGCCTTTGTCTCCCCGATGCTAATGTTTACATCCTGCACCAGGTGCTCATTTAATGCCAAGCCGACCTAGGGGGGGAACAGGACCAGTAAATATGTTTATTACCGGTGTTAGCTGCGAGCAGGAATCTAACTCGGGTCACCGGGTTTGTATAGCAGTGCGATAACATTTCACTACCGCTCGTATAGGTAAGCACGCATACATACCCCTCTGCTAATGATGCTCATGGTGATGTTGTTTTTGTTGATGCAGCTAGGGAATCAGTGCCGGCAATGAAATGTGGCTCATGTGAACGGGTGGTCATCACTTGCTCCTCATGTGGTAAGAATACATCGCACTACCAAACTACACTGCACTGACACACCCTATATATGCCCCCACCACACTCACACACTACCACCATGCACACCACATCCCATCATGCGTTTGTGCACCAACTGCTCACACTGCATTGTACATACCACCCTTCTCTACGTATAATACCACAGGCAGCCACACCACACGCACACATTCTATGTAACACGCAAACCACATATTACACGCAAACAACACCACACACTTCATCACAAACACTGCATCGCCACATTAACTCCCTTCACATATTTCCACACAAACACTGGTGGCCATGTTGTTTTTCAATGGCAATTTTAGTTTTTTTCTGGACATTAAGCAGTCGAACAATGGTCAAATGCATTTAACAGACTCTATACACATTATAGACGTGATAGACCAGTGCATATACAGTTCTATGGCACAAATTTGCCCAATTAAAACCAATTACCCCGCAAGCGACTCAATTGTAATTAGACGTAGCAACCATCACCCACTCCTGCGAAAAAAACTTGGCAGGACCTTCCTTAAAATTAGTCACGAGACTCAGTGAGGTTCATTTTGGTAAAAAAAAGTGTCATAAATAATAATAACATGAACATTTCTTTACATATAATGCACGTTAAAATGTCGTGATTCAGCCGAGCACAGAATAGCCTGTTGTCACAAAATACAGGATATACATTTTAATTCACTGTACAAGCGTCATATGCATAGTGTGGCATGCTATGACATGAGTTGTCTTACTATGATGCAGTGTGGTATAGCATGAAATGACGTGGTGCGGTGTGTTTTTAGTTTCAATCAAGAAGACGCTTACCAACCCCGACATCATGCGGATAGGAGGAGGAATTATGTTGTCATGCATCTTCCTTTTGATCATCGGCATTCTAGGTAAGAGGGAGGGCTGTAGGGTTACACATTTGTATGAATGTTGAGCTTCTTTCCCACCGTACGTAGCCAACCGTACTAATCGGAGGTGTGGGTCACTGGGCCATGGGACCCAGACATGGACCCTGCCTAATGCTTTGGAACCTTCATGTTTTTCAACGCTTTATATTCTTGGTTCTTTCGGTAAAGTCACGTAGAAGGGAAATAATAAAATAATAATAAATTTTACACAATAAAATACAATTCTCACGACGTTTCGGCCACAACACAAGCAGCCGTCCTAGAGCTGTCGGAAAGACAGCGTCCTAACGAACACTACGTGACTGTACCGAAAGAACCGAGAATATGAATCCCTGCAGTCACGAAAGCTTTAAATCGAAATTTCAACACTCTTTATTTTTGTATTTAAAGCTTTCGTGACTGCAGGGATTCATATTCTTGGTTCTTTTGGTAAAGTCACGTAGAAGGGAAACAATAAAATAATAAAAATATAAAACAATACAATTCTCACGACGTTTCGACTGCAACACAAGCAATCATCATCAGGTGTAAAAACCACAGCAAGAAATTTTGAAAAAAGTGGCGTTTTTTTAAATGTTAGCACCACGGAGAGCGATTTGGCAGTTATTCAGATTGACGAGTCCATCTATGTTCGGAAAAGAGGAGGGGGGAGACGAAAATAATGGATGCGGTCTGAAAGCCACCGTAAGTGTGAACAATCAATTAAGACCCGAAATGATTTATCAATTCCTTCCAATGATTGCTAAGCCAGAATCCATCTTCTAAAAAAAACGCCACTTTTTTCAAATTTTCTTGCCGTGGTTTTCACACCTGATGATGATTGCTTGTGTTGCAGTCGAAACGTCGTGAGAATTGTATTGTTTTATATTTGTATAATTTTATTATTTCCCTTCTACGCGACTTTACCGAAAGAACCAAGAATACATTTCAACGCTTTGTTGAATTTGTTTCATTTCGCTGTCCGGGTACTGAGTTATTTGGTCAGCCTGCGGTGTCCCAAACAAGACACTTGTAAGAGCATCCAACATAGGAACTTCCAGAATTACTATCCTGAAAACACACGGCACTGCATGGGCCTCTCTATGCAAGTCTATACTTCTCAATCTTGATTTGAAGCGCTCGTGAGTGCAGAAATCCATACTCTTTGGTACTTTCGATAAAGTCACGTAGGTATAAAATAAAATAAATGTACGACGTTTCGGGCGCAACACAAGCGTCCGTCATCAGGTGGGAAAGCATGGCCTGCTGAGGCAGTCTGTTTTAAAAGGTTTGAAATGGGTCTAGCCCAAGGGTCATTTTACGTGAGTCTATGCTTCTCTGTGTGAGTCTGCGGGTCTCTATGTGAGTCTCTAATTCTCTGTGTGAGTCTGTGGGTCTGTATGCAAGTCTATACTTGTCTGTGTGAGTATGGGATTTTATGCGAGTCTATGCTTCTCTGTGTGAGTCTATGGGTCTCTATGTGAGTCTATAATTATCTGTGTGAGTCTGCGGGTCTCTATGCAAGGCTGTGGGTGTCTGAGTCTATGCCTCTCCATGTGAGCCTATGGGTCTTTGTGGGAGTCAGTTGGTCCCAATGTTAGTAATTTACATCTCTAAACGAATAATCTCCCGGAGCTGACTAGCGTTACAATTAAGTTATTATTTAACGTCGCTTTTTATATTTGTGCAATATTTTAGATTTCCTATGTTACACATTGTTTTTATTCAGATTTTTATTCACTTCATTACCGTACTTTTTCAAATTTATTTTGCTTTTATCATGTTGGCGATCCAGGTCACTTGCAAATGAGAGTTATGCTGGTCTCTTGAATTCTGACCTGGTTAAACAAAATCAACTTGACTTTGCTCTGGCATCTATATGGATCCATGCGAGTCTGATGGTGACTGGTGAAGTGCAGTCCATAACATCGCCGCTCATTGTCCAATGCACGCTTCCTTCAGGAGGTACAAATGTAACCCATTGGCTACCCCATGTGCCATTAAATGGCATTACAAACTCAACACGCGCAGTTATGAACTCGCTTTCTCTACTCGTAGAATGCCATAGGAAAGATGATGCATGTGGTGCTTTTGTGACACGATGTGTGTAATGATGTCTCGTGCTGTGGAGAGGTACAAGTTGTGACATGGAGTGCATGACGATGTGGTGTGCGCGTGTTACAGTAACATCATACAAGAAGGACGAGGAGAAAGATCCTCAGGGTGGTATGCCGACGGAGGTCGTGTCGCACAAGGAGGAGCTGAAACCGGCTGTTCATTGTGACAAGACAAAGAAAAAGAGGAGTGACAAATCTGGCTCCATTCACCACTCGCAACACAAAACTCCCAAAGCTGGTAATGCCCCAATGAGTCGGTCCCAATGTTAGAATATGCATCTCTAAGCAAATAATCTGCCCGAGATCACTTATGCTGCAAGGAATTATCGTGACATTGCTTCGTCGTTGTACAATATGCAGTAAAACCTTGGGTAGCGCAGCATAATTCGTTCCGGAAACGTGCTTATAAGCCAAAGCACTCGCATATCAAAGCGAATTTCCCCATAAGAAATAATGAGGGAGACGAGAGAGAGGAGAGGAGGAGGAGGGTTATTGTGTAGGACGACTTTGTCTGTCACTAACGGAATCACTGCCATCTGTTGGCTCACTGGAATCTTTTTTTTTATTTTTGTGCGACTTTAACAAGGAACCTATCCAATGACACTTGCTTTTTCCTCCTTTTGAGGATTTCATGGGGGCCATTGTTGCAGTACAGTTACTAAAGAACAGTCACTACACTTGGACACAAAATAAAAAAAAATGCTTTACGCACACATACGTGGTCACAACACTGTAGTACTGTAGTAAACAGTATACACGTGGTCACAACACTATAGTACTGTAGTAAACAGTATACACGTGGTCACAACACTATCCTATAGTAAACAGTATACTCGTGGTCACAACACTGTACTGTAGCAAACAGTATACACGTGGTCACAACACTATACTGTAGTAAACAGTATACACGTGGTCACAACACTATAGCAAACAGTATACACGTCGTCACAACACTATAGTACTGTAGTAAACAGTATACACGTGGTCACAACACTATACTGTAGTAAACAGTATACACGTGGTCACAACACTATACTGTAGTAAACAGTATACTCGTGGTCACAACACTATAGCAAACAGTATACACGTCGTCACAACACTATAGTACTGTAGTAAACAGTATACACGTGGTCACAACACTATACTGTAGTAAACAGTATACACGTGGTCACAACACTATACTGTAGTAAACAGTATACTCGTGGTCACAACACTGTAGTAAACAGTATAAACGTGGTCACAACACTATAGTACTGTAGTAAACAGTATACACGTGGTCACAACACTATAGTACTGTAGTAAACAGTATACACATGGTCACAACACTATACTGTAGTAAACAGTATACACGTGATCACAACACTATAGTAAACAGTATACACGTGGTCACAACACTATAGTACTGTAGTAAACAGTATACACGTGGTCACAACACTATAGTAAACAGTATACACGTGGTCACAACACTATAGTAAACAGTATACACGTGGTCACAACACTATAGTACTGTAGTAAACAGTATACACGTGGTCACAACACTATACTGTAGTAAACAGTATACACGTGGTCACAACACTATACTGTAGTAAACAGTATACTCGTGGTCACAACACTGTAGTAAACAGTATAAACGTGGTCACAACACTATAGTACTGTAGTAAACAGTATACACGTGGTCACAACACTATAGTACTGTAGTAAACAGTATACACATGGTCACAACACTATGCTGTAGTAAACAGTATACACGTGATCACAACACTATAGTAAACAGTATACACGTGGTCACAACACTATAGTACTGTAGTAAACAGTATACACGTGGTCACAACACTATAGTAAACAGTATACACGTGGTCACAACACTATAGTAAACAGTATACACGTGGTCACAACACTATAGTACTGTAGTAAACAGTATACACGTGGTCACAACACTATAGTAAACAGTATACACGTGGTCACAACACTATAGTAAACAGTATACACGTGGTCACAACACTATAGTACTGTAGTAAACAGTATACACGTGGTCACAACACTATACTGTAGTAAACAGTATACACGTGGTCACAACACTATAGTAAACAGTATACACGTGGTCACAACACTATAGTACTGTAGTAAACTGTATACACGTGGTCACAACACTATAGTAAACAGTATACACGTGGTCACAACACTATAGTACTGTAGTAAACATTATACGCTCGCACGGATGTTGACTATACGAGTGAGGCACGCCGACTGAGACCGGGCATGGGAGACGATTACCCACAATCCCACAGCGAGAGAGAGAGAAGAACCATCGGCTCAGTTGTGATCACGTGACGCTCGGCAGACAAAGCGTATACGTACTATTTTAAAAATTTGCTCGTCTTGCAAAACACTCGCAGACCAAGTTACTCGCAATCCAAGGTTTTATTGTAATCGAATTCTCACGTGATAGTTGTTTTTATTCCGATTTTTACGTACTGTACTGTTTTACTTTTTTTTTAACATGTTGGTGACCCAGGTCACTTGCAAATGCAACTTTGTGGAATAATGAGACTTATGCTGGTCTGTTGAGTTCTCACCTGGTCAAACAAAATCAATTTGACTTTACAATGCCCTCTATATGAATCCATGCAAATCTAATTGTGATTTTTGTGGTGATGTGCAGTCCATTTCTACATCACTGCTTGCCCAATGCACACTTTTTTTCAAGACGTACAAATGTAATCCATTGGCTACTTCAGGTGCCATCAAATGACTTTCTTAACTCAACACGCAGTTATTATCTCATTTTTTGCTAATATAATGCCATAGGAAACACGATGCAAGTGATGTTTTAGTGACGCGATGTGTGTAATGATGCCTTGAACTATGCAGAGGTGCAAGTGGTGACACTGCACGTGATGTGGTACGTGTGTGTGCATTGCAGTGACTTCATATGAGAACGATGGGAAAGATCCACAGGGTGGAAAACTGACGGAGGTCTTACCTCACAGTGAGGACGTGAAATCAGTTAAGACTCATTCCAAGAAGAAAAAGAGCAGTGGACATAAAGATTCTGGCTCCAAGCACCACTCTAAAAGTAAAACTGACAAGAAGTGAAGAAAACTCCACAGCAGCACGGATGGGTGACATGGAGCAGCACGGATGGACAGAGTGGAGCAGCATGGGCGTTCAGGATGAACGCCTTGTTCGGGGACCCGGGCATTCCTCGGCCGACTGGCGTGCCGTCGGCCACGTCAGGTCGTCGGACTGCGGTGGTCTGCGCCTCTTCGGCGGAGGAGTGGCGCGGCTGCACGGGCTCTCTCCTGGCGCCCTCTGCTGGGGCTCTCTCCTGGCGCCCTCTCCTGGGGCCCTCTGCTGGGGCTCTCTCCTGGGGCTCTCTCCTGGCGCCCTCTACTGGGGCCCTCTCCTGGGGCCCTCTCCTGGGGCCGGAAGACCTCGGTGTTGGCACTGCGATACCAAGGCTGCTCGGCTGCCGAATTGGAAAACACATCCCATACACTGAACACACACACACGCACTAGCCTCGGCAAACACCTAGGAAACTTGAGAGTGTTAGCCCCGGTATCAGATTCCCCTCCGCTGAGTTTTTCACCCCTAGCCTGCCTAGCGAGCAAAAATGGTCTGGGTTTTCTCAGAAGGAGGGAAATTGGCAAAGATTTGATATGCAGGGAATGGAACGGACTGACGATTGTGGGAGATGAAAGGACGATGTTACTACCGAACTTTAATTCTCTTGCAGAAGTGCTGCAACTGTTCAAACCATTGTCGGGATTTTCTCTTTGGCATTGGGTTCATACAATAATATTAAATAAAAAAGTGCATCATATAGATATTGGCAGCAGCATTGTGACTGTTAAGATTAATTATGTGGTGCATGTGTATGACAATGTTTTACCCTTTGTGGCAATAAAACAGGTGTTAAAACACCAAAGAATCTTTTTTCAAGGAATCTTGTCTGCATTTTTGTGATGAACATGTTAACAAAAACATGCTCTGATAATATATGCATTGCCTTTGAAACTGATTGGTCCGCATCAGACTAATCCAGACAGGATTCCTTGAAAAAGGATTCTGATTGGTGTTTTAAGATCCTAACGCCTATTTTATTGCCAGAAGGGGTAAAACCTTTTTGTTATATTTTGGTACTGGCAAGAAAGGTCCCATATTGGTGCATGAATGTTCAGCCATTTATTAAAAATGTATGATGCTGAATAATGACTAAATTGCCTATACGCAGTATAATATTTATTTTGGCAATAAAAAAAACTTGCCATTACATATATATTGGTCGCAGCATTGTGTCTGTTAACATGAATTATGTGGTGCATGTTCAGCCGTTTAAAAAAAAATGTATGATGTTGAATAACGTGCAAATTCCCTATTTCGCAGTGTAATGTTTTTGAAATGAAAAAAAAACTCAAGATATTTTAATTACTCTTCTACCCCCGAAGAGGCGTAGAAAGTGACTGGGAATTTACGCCCGTATTTTCCCCTATGGTAATGTTATCCCTGGGTGGACTGAAAGTACCCTGCATGCTTATTTTTTCCCCAATGTATTACAATTATATAAGTTTGTAGATGTCATTTTCCTGCCACCTGACCAGCCGTTCAACCAATAAGCTGGGAATCAAAGGGTGGCAGAAAAAAAAACGCTTTGTGCGACTGCTACGGAGAGGAAAGAGACTGCTTTTTTGTTTGTACTAAAAAAAAAAGTTTGTACTAAACTCAAGTGACTCCTGTCTCTCTGGTCATGTTTGTTACTACACCACTCACGCTACCAGCTGGATCTTAGACGTTTGTTTTTCACGAACACGCAGTTGCGCAGTACAGTACTCAAGCTCTTATAATTGTCATTCTGTCACGGGGGGGGGGGGGGGGGGGGGAATGTTTGGCCCTTGTAACTTCTAAACAGCCGTAATTTATGGGGTTGGAATCCTGTGTTTTGCTGTGTTCAAGAGCCATGGGTGCAGGGGCTTCAGGTGTTGGATAGTTTAATGTTTAGACTTTAGATCAAGTACGGTAGAGGGTTTAATGGTTTAAATGTGTAGTGTGTCAATTCAGAGACACTGATAGTAGGAGGCATTAGTTTATTCTACACGTTCCACAGTATAGGGGATAACTATATATGGGTCAGGACAGCCGGCACGCTGCCTGACCCAATACCGACGAGGAGGTGAAGACTGGGACGAAGACTTGTGAAGACGACGAGTTCCATTCCCAAAGCACAGCAGCCCCGACCCAGCGTCGGGAACTCCCTTTTATCCTCCCCAGCGTGGCCTGGCTCTGCCCTCGGCCACGCCCCCTTCTGGAACCCATCAGAAGGCTCTGGCTCTGCCCCACGTGTTCCTTCTGACACCTTTACCCTACATCTGTGCCTATCACGTGACCTACTGGCAAACCGGCCGCTGTATCCTTAAATGCCCTTCACTGCCAGCAACCAGCTCTACGCACTCCAGTGGCACACTTCACCTGCCCTGCTGGTAGACTGGGCTATTACACCCACAATCCCGCTCTCTACCAGTAACCAGCGCTACGCGCCGTAGTGACTCATTCAATGTCACTACATGTGTACTGGACATACAAGCCATGATCTTGTGTTTCTTCATAATGCCAGCAGGGTTGTCCATCGGGGGGTTGCGGGGGCAAATCCCATTGTGTGGGCACCCCTGACACCTTCAAACTCAAACAGAATTATTACATTTGACAGAGTGACGTGGAAGCGCCGGTAGCCCCAAAGTGGGGCCCGGGGCATTCGCCCCGAATCGCCGTACCCGAGGGACGGCTCTGACAGCCAGGTGCTGTATCGTTAGGGGTTACACAGGAGAGTCAAATTTAGAAGTGCGACTTTAACAAGGAAGCAGGAGCAGTCTCTAAGGGTACATTTCCTCACCAGAAATGCGACTAGAGAGGGACTATTGGTGTCTCACGTTGGGCAGTCCCAGCACCACCAGGAGCAGGGCCCGTTTCTATCAGACCCACAGCACCAAGTCCCCACCTCCGAGCAGGAACCTCTAGAACCCCTGTAGGCACATTTCCCATCGGTCCCTCTCTCCTAGTAGAGTTCCTTCACCCGAGGCCAGTAAGTTCGACCAAGCTACAGCGGTGGTCCAGATGTCTCGTAATTGAGTCAGCAACCGCTGCGCATTGCTCCTCTCGCTTATGAGGTCTCCCAGTCTTGTTTTTCCGTCCAAAATTTATCCTGTGTAAAACAGCTTCTGTTTCCATCTCAGTATTGTCCATTTTGATGGAGCTTCTTTGTTAAATCTTTCACATAAATCATCTCGTATGCCTTTCATGGTTTCTCTGGTTTGTGATCTTTCATGATCTCATACTCTCGCTACAAGCCGTTCTTCAACATTGTAAGAGCTCGAATAAGGCATCTGAGACAAATAAGGTTAATTTAAAACAAATGAATATGCAAAGGAAAACAATGTTACGGGGCAATTTGGGGTCACGTGACATCTTTACAATCCTGTGTCCGTCGTGCATCCAAAAATGGGAAGGGTGGAGCTGGGTGGAGAGAGGAAGGTGGGGGAGGGGCTGGGTGGGGAGGGTGGGGCTGGGGAGGTGCTGGGTGGGGAGGGAGGGGCTGGGTGGAGAGGGGAGTGTGGGGAGGGGCTGGGTGGGGAGAGAGGGGCTGGGTGGGGAGGGGAGTGTGGGGAGGGGCTGGGTGGGGAGGGGAGGGGCTGGGTGGGGCTGGGTGGGGGATGGGAGGGGTGGGGCTGGGTGGGGAGGGGCTGGTCACCCCGTGGTACCCTTAGAAAACTCAACGTTTCACCTACTCACGCCGGCTTGTGCCCGCCCTCACAGTCGGGCAATATTTGCGGAATACACCACGTGGTGCCGCCGTTGACCCTGGCCATTGACCGAGCAACCCAACGTTCCTACCAGCTCCCTCCGCAGGAGAATGTGTTACTGAACACCTTACACTGGCGAGCTACTTGCTGCAGGTGTTGCCAAGGTGTGTCAGTGCGCACACAATGAAAATCAATCATCCATCCAATCAATCAGCTTATTGATCAATGTATTGTCTCATGCAGCTTTTCGTTCATTAAGTCATTGTCGATTCTCTCAGTCTCCTTCCATGCATCGAGTCAAGACGAGGTCTCTTGCATTTGTTCTCTGGGCCACGTGCTTCTCTTCCTGGCTCCCACTTACGCCTCTCTCCTGCAAAATTATCCGTTCAACCCGAAACATCGGCCCCTAACTCTGAACGGCCATTGCCCCCTCCCTGATGGATATTGTTGTATATGTCGGTTATGGAAATTTGATGTAAATAATAAAAAGTAAATGCATTTTGGAAAATTGCGTAATTATCCGAAATTATGTTAATTGATGTAATAATGCACATTAATTATGCTAATTCGAGATATAATCATATTAATTAATGCGAGTGGTGTGATTATGCTAATTCAAGCCATTATAATAATTAGGCCCCGCCTCACTGACGAGGGTCGTATCATCAATCAGAATAAGACAATTAATCGTATGAAGTTATGCCAGCGTGATGCAGGTATGCCAGAGTAACTCGCTTCATTGTTTAACTTCGTATTAACGCTCGGCAATACAATTATTCTCGCTTTAACATTTACTGAGTGTATTAGTGTGTTTATGTCAGGTCTCCAAATTCAGATCTCAACGCAGGATACAGTTCTTGTAAATAATATTATTACGCATGAAATTCAGGAAAGAAACACTCAACCACTTCTGCGTTAATCAATTTTATTTTCTAACGAAACCTTAACTCTAGAAGATGCAACTCTCGGGTTGGGATTATCAATACAGTACCATCGGTAAACATCAACTATTGCGTTGTTTCACTTTGGCAACCGCACATATGATTAATTCCACTGCGTAACGCGAGCTTAATTGGTGATAGAGAGAGTCGTTAAAACATGCATGCACGCTATTCTAAACAAAAACCTTAACACTCTAATATGCAAATTCTTGTACTTGAAATTGTCAGCACAGTGTTACCAGCGATGTTCATTTCATTGATCCATCTCTTCAACCCTCAATAATCACGTTGTTAATTGGATAAAGGAACAATTGATTACTTCCTCTGGGTACCACGAGCATATGGAAAATACGAATAAAAGTCTTTAAAAATTCATCCGACGATATTCATGCGAAAGGGCAGTCAAAACAATTATTGTTCCCCAAAGGCAAAAGTATACGTCAATGGATTCATTGGCAAGATTATGCAATTAAAAAGAAAACGAAAAAAACGTACGACTGAGTTGCTTCTAAATGATCTTATCCATGTAACTCAATGGCAGCAATGTTCTTCATGATCAGTTGATATTTAATGCACCACCTTGGAATGTCACTCTTCTTGATTGTCCCAATATGCGTGTTGTGCGTCTTCCTGAAGCAGACGCCAGGTGATGCGTCGTGAGGTTGTGAGAGTGGGGGAGGGTGATACGAACTGCTTTGTTCTCTTGCTCAGGGCGTCGGCTTGGCTGCTCGTGCTGGCAGATACAGGCTCTTTCCACTGCTGGATGGCTGCGCTGCACACGCTCTCTCCGTGGAGATACGCGCGATCATGATACTCCAATGATGTGATACTCCGGCTGATGCTGTTGTTGAGTGACTCATGCAGCCAGCTATGGCTCTAGGGTTTGGTGTTACATGTTATTTATGTAGTTATTGTTAAAAATTCGGTCACAGTTCCTAAGCTCACTGTTACATTGCATTTATGGCTTTATTTTGGTGATTTCGAAAACGTTTTTTGGTTTGGCCATGTTTTTGTTTATTGTAGTACGGAGTTGGACTGATGGCCTTAATCTTAGTTGTCTTGTGGTTGTTGTTGTTTGACTTGCATCCCACTGGCATTTTTGCACACAGCATTGGTGTACGGTGCTATTTCAGGAATATTTTGATGTTTTTTTCCTGGATTTTCTGTTTGCACAGTCACATAGTCACTTTAAGATGTTTTCTTGTTCATGTTTTTGTTTGTTGCGGTTGCACCCGATTCAAGAGCCGAATGGCTCACAGGGCTATACCAAATAAATGGAACTATGAACTATGATCGCCGCTGGTTCACTGGCAGCAGCAGGCTCTTTCCACTGCTGTAGTAGCTACGCACGCGCTCTCTCTGTGGAGGATGCGAACGATCACGCTCTTCGCTGGTTCGCTGACTCTTTTGCTCACGGACGGCTGGTCAGGCTCTTTCCACTGCTGGATGAGCCAAGTCGGCACACGCTTGGCCGCTGGCAGCAGATGCTCTTGCTTGGCGGTGCTGGTCGCGCTGCAGCTGGAAGCTGGCACTCGATGTAGAAATAAAAGTCTTTGAGCGATACGTTGTCTTTCAGCTCTGAACTCACGCTCGTTGATACATCGCTACTCGGCGAGCCTCTCCATTCTTAGTTGATCGCGGGGCCCCTTGGAGCCAGCCGCTCGCCGCCCTCTTCTGGCTCTCGCTGAGCTGTTGTCTCGTTGAACTGTCGAGAGCCTATCGTGAGTGTCGTGCTGCTGTTTTTTTCCGGAAAAAAAAATCTCTCGCCTCTGCGCGTGGGGGGTGTGCCATCCTTGTCCGTGTGTGGGAATGTCCGTGTGTGTGTGTGTGTTTGTTAAGCCATCTGTTTTCCTTCCTGTGATCACCGTGCCCTCCTCAAGGTGTTACATTCCTTGCTTTCCGTGCTGCGGGAAGACAAAGGCGGTCGGGAGGTTCTCCTTCTCTCTGGCTGCTCTCGGTTTAACCCTGCATCATTATCATTTTTGGTTTATGTTTCCGAAGAGATTATTCCTATAATGTCATCTTATTCTTGTTGTCAAGTTTTCCTTGGACTTTCCGTTAATTAAAAATAATCGAATGCTGTCTGTCCGGTTTTTCGCCGTCCTGGACGCTGCTCGTCAAGATAAATTCCTTCCCGCACCCTTCCTCCTTTTGATCTCGAAGGGTGTTACATTCTGGCTCTGCCGCACTGCGGGAAGACAAAGACGGCCGGGAGGCTCTGATGTCATGGAATACTTTTTCTGGTCTTTGTGTGTTTGACCTACTTCTTGTACCTCTACTGAATTACCCCAGGTCTAATCTCTTGCGATTATTATTTGGTTTATGTTTAACCAAGATTTGTAATGTACCATTTAGATGTTACCACCACGATTCCGGGCTTTGCTAAGCTTTGTTCTCAGTCCGTGTCGCCATGGGTCGGTGTTTATTCGCGAGTTATTTCCGATATCCGGAGGTTGGATATATTGCTTAGTTTGGACTTAAGCTTTCGTGATTGCAGGAACTCATGTACTTGGGTTCTCTTGGTAAAGTCACGTAGATAGGAGATACAAGAAGAAATAATACGTGAGTTGAATAAGGGTGACATAAAATAAGTAATAATAAAGCCACTAATATAGACTCATTCTTATAGCCAAGCTTTAACTTTTTCCGTGAAGGAAAAAAAATCAGTTATAATGTTCGTTTGCCCTGTGCTCTGTGTCCGTGTCTGTGATTCTTTGGTATTTATTTGTGAATTGTTCTTTGGCAATCTGGGGATTTTTCAGATAGTCGTTAACCTCTCTTTGCCCCGGAGTTTATTATTTATTAAAACATTTTTTAATGGCCTTTTTACGATCTCCACCTGCTGTTTGCTGTGAGGCTGGGTTTGCCATTTATTTATTTCGGTTACTATTAAAAATATATCGGCAAATTTTATTATTAATATCAATTTTGGAAAAAGGCCTGTATATCCAACGTTATACAACTCCATTCGCTTCATTGAGCAACTGGCATCAGCATAAAAAAATACACGTGACAACTCGAGTGTTTTGGTTTGATTTATAAAGTAACTTTAAAATCGGTAGTTTAGTTTCACAATCAGAACCAAACGCACGTGGACAGCCGCCACCCACTGTGTTTTCTCATTAGGGGCCGTCCATAAATGACGTCACGCACCTAGAGGGGGTCAGACGTTTGTGACGATGTGTGACGAGGGGAGGGGGTGTGAGAAATGTGACGTCACATCAAATTGCGCAACTTTAAATAAATATAGACAACACGTTCTACTTAATTAAATAGACTTTTTAATAAACGTTTTCTCCTACAACATCAGAGTGCAGCGCCACATTAAATACGCACTACAATGACAATAGTTTAAAGCGATTTGAAGCATGTTTTATTTTCAAAATGGAAATGTTTTTCTTTTTTTTGGGGGGGGGGTCTGACTTTTTGTGACGCTGTGTGACGAGGAGGGGGGGGGGTCAAAAATCGTCCAAAATCGCGTGACGTCATTTATGGACGGCCCCTTACACATGACACCGTAAGTCGTTTCCAATGGCATCATCCTGCACCGTTATGTGGAATCGATAAAGTTACAATTCTTAAAGGTAGAGATATCCTCCCATCACAGGATTGCAGAATCCTGCCCAATAGGAAATACCACTGGGGAATGGTTTGTTATATAACTATTTTATTCATAATAACTATTTTATTCTCAGCACCGACTATAATTTAAGAGACACATTGCACGATATGACGCCAATGTAAATGTATTTTGCCCACATTATTTCTGACATGTAATATTACTCACTCGAGCTCCGGTTGCCAAACCCGTGACATCTTTCTCACTCGCCCATACTGGGCATCAGGGAGAAATATTCCCCATAGCTCATTGGATTTCTCCCACAGTCTAAATATTAAAGACGATGCTGATTCTCTTTTACATTGTTTTTTTTGGGAGCGGAAAAAACTATATGTGTGTGTGACTCGATGTGGTCCTGAATGGGTCCAGTATGGGTTTCCCCCGTGGTGTTCCAAGGCGGCTATGGGCTGGCACGATCCAGCAATGCACAGGGATGAACAGTCCTTTGTCCAGTCTTAACATCATAGCTGTTGTGTAGGGCGGACTCTACCATGTGAAACCAACCATAAGGGGGGCGCAATTAAAATTGACTTCACACGTCCAAAGCACTTCTCATGCAGCTAAATTTGGGTTGCCTCTGCCTAAATTATATTTTACAATAAGTATTATATAATAGCTGACACGTAATGTCCCTGGTGAAAGTCGTTTAGCGAATAAATAATAGCTTTAACATCGTCACCAACACACCCTCCCTCCCCGTGAGAACTGGCGACGATGGTTGTGCCCACGCTTGGTGGAGTCGTGGCAGCAGTAGTAACACGTGTGTGAGCAGCTGTTCACAGGGCAGGCTGTGTCCGTCAGTCGCACGCTGTCTCTCTCTCTCTTCGTGTGTGTGCCTGTTGGTCTGTGTGTGTGTGCTTATCTCTTTGTCTCAGTTTCTTTTTGTCTCTCTCGGTCTATGTCTACCTGTCTATCTGTCTGCCTGCCTGTCCTTGACGGTCTCTTCGCCTCTCTATTTGTTGGGCTGTCTGCCCGTCCGACCCTACATCCGTCCGTCCGTCGGTCTGCCTGGCTGCCTGCCTTCCTGCCGAACTAATAGCCCAGTATCTGTCCGTCTGTCTGCTTTCCTGCCTTCCTGAATATCTGGCCGCCCTTCTGTCTGTACTTCCCATTCATCCATCCGCCCATCCCTCTGTCAACCCATCCATCTGCCTCTCTTATCTGCATATCTGACCGCCTATCCCTAAAACCCACCCACCCAAACAACCCCATTCATCCCCCATCCCCCTGCGTCTGTCGTTCTCTCCATATATATCTGCCTTGCGTCTTCTTGCCCGACAACTCATCCGGACATCCTCCTTCCGTCTGCCTATCCGTTCACCCGCTCTGTTGTCCATCTCATCCCTCTCGCCTCCCATCCACCCAAAGTTTACGCAATCCCCCACGTGCGTCCGCCCGCTCGCCCGCCTCGAGCCGCGTGAATCTATCGGTGTAACGGGGGACCCCCCCACCCACCACGCAGCTCCGAGCGGCCGCAGTCAAAGCCTCTAAAACGTCGGCAGAGACGGACGGGGAAGGAGCCGAGAGGCAGGAAGAAGAGGGAGCAGGGGAAGAGGGAGGGCAATGGCTTCTGGCGGGACGGACACGGACACGGGGCCTGGCCGGGTTCTGTTCGAGGCGGCGGGACCCCAGCAGGAAGCTCACCCCGAGCAGCGGAGGCCGTGGAAGGTGACCGTCAAATACGACCGCAAAGAGCTGCAGAAGCGCCTCGAGCTTGAGGAGTGGATGGAGGCGCAGCTCGGACAACTCTTCCCCGGCGGGGTGAGTGATGACGGGAGCGGGTGGTGGTGGTGTGTGATGGTTGGTGGTGGTGTGTGATGGTGGTGTGTGATGGGTAGTGGTGTGTGGTGATGGTGGTGTGGTGTGTGATGGTGGTGTGTGATGGGTAGTGGTGTGTGATGGTGGTGGTGTGTGATGGGTGGTGTGGTGTGTGATGGTGTGTGATGGTGTGTGATGGGTGGTGTGATGGGTGGTGGTGTGTGATGGGTGGTGGTGTGTGATGGTGGTGTGTGATGGTGGTGTGTGATGGTGGTGTGTGATGGTGGTGTGGTGTGTGATGGTGGTGTGGTGTGTGATGGGTGGTGGTGTGTGATGGTGGTGGTGTGTGATGGTGGTGGTGTGTGATGGGTGGTGTGTGATGGTGGTGGTGTGTGATGGTGGTGGTGTGTGATGGGTGGTGGTGTGTGATGGGTGGTGTGTGATGGTGGTGGTGTGTGATGGTGGTGTGGTGTGTGATGGGTGGTGGTGTGTGATGGGTGGTGGTGTGTGATGGGTGGTGTGTGATGGGTGGTGTGTGATGGTGGTGGTGTGTGATGGTGGTGTGGTGTGTGATTGGTGGTGGTGTGTGATGGGTGGTGGTGTGTGATGGTGGTGGTGTGTGATGGGTGGTGGTGTGTGATGGGTGGTGTGTGATGGTGGTGGTGTGTGATGGTGGTGGTGTGTGATGGGTGGTGGTGTGTGATGGTGGTGGTGTGTGATGGTGGTGTGGTGTGTGATGGTGGTGTGGTGTGTGATGGGTGGTGTGTGATGGTGGTGTGGTGTGATGGTGGTGTGGTGTGTGATGGGTGGTGGTGTGTGATGGTGGTGTGGTGTGATGGTGGTGTGGTGTGTGATGGGTGGTGTGTGATGGGTGGTGGTGTGTGATGGGTGGTGGTGTGTGATGGTGGTGGTGTGTGATGGGTGGTGGTTTGTGATGGTGGTGGTGTGTGATGGGTGGTGTGTGATGGTGGTGGTGTGTGATGGTGGTGGTGTGTGATGGTGGTGGTGTGTGATGGTGGTGGTGTGTGATGGGTGGTGTGATGGGTGGTGTGATGGGTGGTGTGTGATGGTGGTGGTGTGATGGGTGGTGTGATGGGTGGTGTGATGGGTGGTGTGTGATGGTGGTGGTGTGATGGGTGGTGTGTGATGGTGGTGTGTGATGGTGGTGGTGTGTGATGGTGGTGGTGTGTGATGGTGGTGGTGTGTGATGGTGGTGGTGTGTGATGGTGGTGGTGTGTGATGGGTGGTGTGATGGGTGGTGTGATGGGTGGTGTGATGGGTGGTGTGTGATGGTGGTGGTGTGATGGGTGGTGTGATGGGTGGTGTGATGGGTGGTGTGTGATGGTGGTGGTGTGATGGGTGGTGTGTGATGGTGGTGGTGTGTGATGGGTGGTGTGATGGGTGGTGTGATGGGTGGTGTGATGGGTGGTGTGATGGGTGGTGTGGTGTGTGATGGTGGTGGTGTGTGATGGTGGGGCGTGGGGTGGTGATGGTGGGGGCGAAGGGGTGGAGGTGATGGTGGGGCGTTTATGAGATGGGACGAGCGGATGGTGATGTTGACGTTCTACCGATGGCGGCGTTGGTAATCGTGACGGCGATTGTGCCATCTGTTGGCGATTTTTTCTTCTTCTTGTTGTTGTTAAATTTTATCCGCCCGTCGCTCTGCTCGCTGTTGTGAGCTTCGCCTCCTCCCGTTTCTCACCCCAGTGTTGAGGACGGGCGGTCCAACTGGTCAATCCCACCCGTTACAATGAGAGTAATCTTTAAAGCCTCACCCAGTGAGCATGCCACGTGTGAGGCTGGAAGTTGCAACCACATGTCGCAAAGACAACGTTTGCTTGTCGACCGGGGCAATTCCCCTGTCAGCGACATGCGCCTGCGTCCTGATGGTTTTTAAACTCCGCAGTTTTACGAGACGCACCCCCGCCCGCCTGCCACGCTATCCCCAGTATCGCATTGGAGATGAAACTGTAATGTTGGTGAAACTCAATTCTGTATAAAAACTGCATTTTGTGATCTCCCCGCGCGCGCCTATACGTAGAGCACGGTTGGCTACGTACGGTGCGAAAGAAGTTGAGCGTATATACATACACACATAACAAGGGGCCATTGCCCGAAACGTCGCCCTCTTATGTCTTTTCATGTTTAAGGCCGCGGTGTTATTGACCGAAGCGTTTTGAGTTTTCATCAATGGGAGAGGTCGCGGCACGGCGCTCGATCGTTACGTTGGCACGTGGGTCGATCCACTGCTGGATGGCAACCTCCTCACACCACGGTGGTTACACTGTAGCGGCAGGGTGGTTCTTCACCCGGGGTGGTTCTTCACCCGGGGTGGTTCTTTACCCGGGGTGGTTCTTCACCTGGGGGTGGTTCTTCACCCGGGGTGGTTCTTCACCCGGGGTGGTTCTTCACTCGGGGTGGTTCTTCACTCGGGGGTGGTTCATCACCCGGGGTCGTTCTTCACACGGGGTGGTTCTTCACCCGGGGTGGTTTTTCACCCCGGGGTGGTTCTTCACCCCGGGGTGGTTCTTCACCCGGGGTGGTTCTTCACCCGGGGTGGTTCTTTACCCGGGGTGGTTCTTCACCTGGGGGTGGTTCTTCACTCGGGGTGGTTCTTTTCCCGGGGTGGTTCTTTACCCGGGGGTGGTTCTTCACCCGGGGTGGTTCTTCGCCCGGGGTGGTTCTTCGCCCGGGGTGGTTCTTCACCCGGGGTGGTTCTTCACCTGGGGGTGGTTCTTCACTCGGGGTGGTTCTTCGCCCGGGGTGGTTCTTTACCCGGGGGTGGTTCTTCACTCGGGGTGGTTCTTCACCCGGGGTGGTTCTTCACCCGGGGTGGTTCTTCACTCGGGGTGGTTCTTCACCCGGGGTGGTTCTTCACCCCGGGTGGTTCTTCACACGGGGTGGTTCTCTACCTGGGGTGGCTCTTCACCTTGGTGGTTCTTCACCTGGGGTGGTTCTTCACACGGGGTGGTTCTTCAAACGGGGTGGTTCTTCACTCGGGGTGGTTCTTTACCCGGGGTGGTTCTTCACCTGGGGTGGTTCTTCACTCGGGGTGGTTCTTCACCCGGGGTGGTTCTTCACCTGGGGTGGTTCTTTACCCGGGGGTGGTTCTTCACTCGGGGTGGTTCTTCACCCGGGGTGGTTCTTCACCCGGGGTGGTTCTTCACTCGGGGTGGTTCTTCACCCGGGGTGGTTCTTCACCCCGGGTGGTTCTTCACACGGGGTGGTTCTCTACCTGGGGTGGCTCTTCACCTTGGTGGTTCTTCACCTGGGGTGGTTCTTCACACGGGGTGGTTCTTCAAACGGGGTGGTTCTTCACTCGGGGTGGTTCTTTACCCGGGGTGGTTCTTCACCTGGGGTGGTTCTTCACCCGGGGTGGTTCTTCACCCGGGGTGGTTCTTCACCTGGGGTGGTTCTTCACTCGGGGTGGTTCTTTACCCGGGGTGGTTCTTCACACGGGATGGTTCTTCACCTGGGGTGGTTCTTCACTCGGGGGTGGTTCTTCACACGGGGTGCGAGATGCCCTTTCTGGGGGTGCGAGATGTGGCCTGATATTTTTTTTGTAAGGGGCCGTCCATAAATGACGTCATGCACCTAGGGGGGGCGCGGGGGGGGTCAGACATTTGTGACGAGGGGGGGGGGTTGACATATGTGACGTCACATCAAAATGCGTAACTTTAAATAAATATAGACAACACGTTCTACTTAATTAAATAGACTTTTTAATAAATGTTTTCTCCTACAACACCAGAGTGCAGCGCGACATTAAATACGCACTACAATGACAATAGTTTAAAGCGATTTGAAGCATGTTTTATTTTTGGGGGGGGTGGGGGGGGCAGAGCTTTGTGACGTCATATTTGAGGAGGAGGGGGGGGTCTAACTTTTTGTGACGCCGTGTGACGAAGGGTGGGAGGGAGGGGGGTCAAAAATCGTCCAAAAATCGCGTGACGTCATTTATGGACGGGCCCCCAAGGTAAATGATCGAAAACACAAATTGAGCAAGGGCAAAGGAAGTGCAACTTTAATTTTTGTGCCGCCAACGCTGTAACGCGTCGGGCGAGCAGAGGTCGCGTGTTTTGAGTAAAGGTTCAGGAACCACACTGCGTGTCGCCTATCATTACCGCCTGTTTGCACACAAGAGGCCGCTTGCACTAGGGCTGAACGATTAATCGATGTCAAATCGATTAATCGCTCATTTGAAACAATGCGATTAGCGAATCGCAAAGGCGGCGATTTTTTTGTTGCAGATTTGAAAAATCCTATTACTTTCTTATTGGAATCGTAATATATTTTGTATTATTACGACTTTATTTATTTAACTTAACAATTGTTCTATGTTCGATTGTTCTCGTTCAACTTAAACATTTTTATGAATACACGTTGGAAGCAATTCATATCTTTTAATTTCTCATCCTTGCATCAGAATATACAGTAAAACCTTGGATTGCGAGAATAATTCGTTCCGGAAACGTGTTTGTAATCCAAAGCACTCGTATATCAAAGCACTCGTATATCAGTTGTTATCACGTGACGCTCGGCAGACAGCGTATACGTACTACTCGTATTGCAAGAGACCTCGCTCGTTTATCAAATTAATATGTATTTAAAAATTTTACTCGTCTTGCAAAACACTCGCAGTCCAAGTTACTCGCAATCCAAGATTTTACCGTATAGAGCAGTTCATATGTTGATGGTATCACGTGGTAATGCTCCATCACGTGTTTTAAATCTATTGCACGGTGAATATTGAACTGAAGCTTGACTTTAAAAAACAGGTTTTTTTATCGCAAATCAAATCGCAATATCTGTCAGAAAAATCGCTAATTTGACATTTTCCCCAAATCGTTCAGCCCTGGCTTGCACTAATCCAGGCTCCACCTTGCGAAACTTCCGAGAGCTGACGCCATCGGTTGCATTCTAGTCAATTTTCTTTCAAAGGCCGTCGTGTTTTGCGCGTGTTAATTAGGTCATTATTGATGTCTTACAGTTTATTTAACATCCCGTCAAATTACCTTCACGTTAAAAGAATTTCGTTTACATCCAAACATGAACCCCCTGGATGTAATTACCAGCGAAACGTCGTACTACTCAGATTGTGAATGTTGCGGATTTACTCTCCGACGCACCGGTGGGCTGAAGTAGTAAACTATTTGGCGTTTTGTTTACGTGACAAATCCCCTTTACTAATTGGCCGTGTCGGGTGGTGGAGGATTACGACACATTCATAAATAACGCGATCTAACCCAAAAACCTTTTTTATGAATAATATTTGGTCGCGAAAAGCCTGCCACGTGTTAAATGAACTGATAGCCATGTCACCCGAGCTCAAAAAGGGCATCTAAGGCATATAAAAAAACAAGGGGAAATAGCAATACTGTACAGTACCAGGATATACAGTGCAAATAAATACGAAAGTGCGATAATCTTAGGTCACCGTCAGTCCATTGCCGGTTGGAGGCCCTCCCCAAGCCTCCACCATCTCGCGATGTTAAAGTCCACCCAGCAGCTGCGCACGAGATGACTTCACCGCTCCATCTCCTCCGTTCCAACGTCAGTCTCGGACGCGTTCAAAACCTTGGCTGCCACTTCGTTGTTACTCTTGACCATCGGCCACTGCACACAAGCTCGCCATCCACGCGTCCTGCACAAACGCCCATTTAGTTTCATTTTAAAGAGGAACGGGTAAAAAGATACAGTTAAAACCTTGGATTGCGAGCATAATTCGTTCCGGAAACGTGTTTGTAATCCAAAGCACTCATATATCAAAGCACTCGTATATCAGTTGTGATCACGTGACGCTCGGCAGACGAGGCGTATACGTACTACTACTCGTATTGCAAGACCCTCGCTCGTTTATCAAATTAATATTTATTTTAAAAAATTGCTCGTCTTGCAAAACACTCGCAGACCAAGTTACTCGCAATCCAAGGTTTTACTGTGTATATATATTCCAGCTGACGTCATCACTCCCAACGCCTCGGTGGGCATCCTTTCAGATGTGTTCCATCCCTTCACCTGCCACTCCATCATTACGCTTGACCTTCAGTTAGCAACCTTCTATCCACCCCACGTTTTCCTGGCCAAGCCTGGTTACTTTAATTACCATATTAAGGGGGAAATCATAATCGCGATCGATAATGAAAGTCAATACTGCGTACCACGCCGTACAAGCAATTTCATTACGGAGTTTAAGTAGGGAGAGATCCCAGCTGACGGTGGCAAATTGGATAATCCCGGCGCGCGCACGCACTCATGCTGAGCCGTGCTGCCGCGAAGAGTGGGAGGCCGGAGGTCAGTATCAAGTTCTCGCGCGGGCGACTTGAGAGTGGCTCTCGGGGTGATGCTTTCGATCGCCGTAGCTGTTGAGAAATGTGCTCACCAATCGATTATCGCGCTTTGTGAAAACGAAAAAAAAGCGGAATAAAAACTCAAGCGCGCCGATATGATTCACGGAGAGATGTTGCTGTATTGAGGTTTCGCTGAGACACAGAGAGAGGGACACATGGATTGTATGTTGAACTTCTTTTGCAACGTACCTAGGCAACCATGCTAATCGGAGGTACAAGCTAGAGACGTCTTATGGACTGTTATGAAAAATTAAGGGGCCTTGGGCAGGACACATCACGGCTAGGAGGGAGGATGATGGCCAAAGGTCAAAAATAACAATGGGAGTGGCAGCCGAGGAACGGAAGGCGTCCGAGAATAATACGTTCGCCCAGGAGGAGATGAAGCAATGAAATTTGTTGTTGTGCACGGTGGATTATGACATCACAAGATCGCGTGAAGTGGCGGTAGCGGCGGCTTGTGCAGAGGCCTTGATCATCTAGCAGCGGATTGACCACGGCTGCCCGTGATGTTGATGATGGCGATGACTGACTGTCAGTGGTGCTAAATTTGATGATTCGAACCGGACCACCAGATGTGTGTGACTTGCAATAAGCGTTGTGCGTGTGAAAATAGAACGCGCTCGAACAGGAAGGGCATGCGGTTTGACTCCTCGATATTTCTGCTCTGCCTTGCAGCTGATAACAACGCCGTGCCCAGCTGTGGTTTGGCGTATGTTCTGCTTTGCTTTTTAATAAGCTAATGGCAGGAGTTCACCCTCAATTGCATTATTGGTCCTCGTTAGAAGGTCAATTTGCCTTATTCTAATGTGTTCAGGATTGCTTTAGGAGAGGCCGCTAATTATATTGCCGCATGAAGAGCTAATTAAATTCATAGACATACGCAGAAAGCTGCATGTGTTTTTTGTGTTGCCTTTGCATCGGGGTTTGTGATCCGCATAACATAAATCACGTGGAAATCTGCGCCGTGCCTGGAAAAAATGGAAGAAACTGGAAATCTACGCCAATTGTGTTGTTCGGAAAAATGAAACGAATGGTAAAAGAGAGGAAGGCCGAGCATAGGATTACTTGACGACATCATAAGAGATTGGTGGCAGAAAGATGTGGCCACGACTTGATCATAATGGCACAAGACAGAGAAGAAAGTGGAAATAACAAATGACAAAATGCGCAATGGACATCTATGGGTTATCTTGGCATGGATTGTTTTCAGTTTCATTTATTTTGGTATAGCCCCGTGAGCCATTTGGCTCTTGAATCGGGTGCAACCACAACAAACAAAAAACACCAACAAGAAAAACATCTTAAAGTGACTATGTGCCTGTGCAAACGGAAAATCCAGGAAAAAAACAGCAAAATATTCCTGAAAAAAGCACCGTACACCAACGCTGAGTGCAAAAATCCCAGTGGGATGCAAGTGAAACAACAACAACAACAACCACAAGAGAGCTTTAGATTAAGGCCATCAGTCTAACTCCGTACTACAACAAACAAACATGGCCAAACCAAAAAAACTTTTCGAAATCACCAAAATGATGATAATATGGCTCTATAATGTACTGTTCATCGCAGATGGGTGCAAGATCTTAACCTTAATAATCATTTTGATTATAAGCTTTCGTGACTGCAGAAATTCATATTCTTAGCTCTTTCGGTAAAGTCACGTTGAAGGGAAACAATAAAATAATAATATATATATAAAAAACAATAAAAATTCTCACGACGTTTCGACCATAACACAAACGGTCATCATCAGGTGTGAAAAAACCAACGGCAAGAAACATTTGAAAGAAGTGGTGGTTTTTACTTATTTATTTTACACGGTGTTTGCATTTACTTATTTATAAAAAAAAACGTTAGCACCACGGGCAGCGATTTGGCAGTTTATTTAGAAGGACGAGTCCATCTATGTTTTGAAAAGAGGAGGGGGGAGACGAAAAATTAATGTATGCTGTCTGAAAGCCACCGTAAGCGTGAACAATCAATTAAGACCTGAAATGGTTTATCAAATCTTTCCAATGATTGCTAAGCCAGAATCCATCTTCTCGGTTGAAATTGTCTCTGTGCTTGTATATGTGGATAGCCTCATGAACGAATCTCTCATGGTAGCCAGATGGCTTACAAAGAACCTCTGTCTTGGAGAAGTCAATGTCATGTGAGCCTACTGAATTATAACAGTGATCTGCCACGGCCGAGGTGTTGGTCCTACCGTGTTAATAATCATTTGAAGTTGTAACACGCCGCACGGTATTCACTCTCTCGCTGTCTTCGAGAGCGGGTGACTCAGAAGAGCGAGGAGGAACCACAGTCGAGCGGCAAGGCAGCCAGGCGGTGAGCTGGCGTCATGGAAAATTGACTAAGCTCTGCGATTCTCTCTATAGTAAGATGTAGTGAGTTCAATAACGAGCACTTAATTTAAACAAGTCAGAGGCAACCGGAGCAGCAGGAGAAAACCCAACCGTGCGAGAGAACAACACGCCATCCCATAAAGGTGGACAGGGGAGGAGCCAGGATTTTGACTTGGGGGGGGGGGGGGGCTGACTTCAATATTCTGAGATATCCAGTGTTTATGTTTTCCAATGGGCGCCACAAATGTATAAAACAAATTTTATTGGACTTGAACGCGGAGTTTATTAATAGGTCGGAGCCGCTGATGTGGCTAATAAGTTCGATAAGTTCGAAAGGCTGCCGCTCAAGCAGCCTGCAGGGCAGCACAAGGTGGCAGCCTGCAGGGCAGCACAAGGTGGCAGCCTGCAGGGCAGCACAAGGTGGCAGCCTGCAGGGCAGCACAAGGTGGCAGCCTGCAGGGCAGCACAAGGTGGCAGCCCAAGGTGGCAGCACAAGGTGGCAGCCTGCAGGGCAGCACGAGGTGGCAGCCTGCAGCATTTTGCAGCAGCCGGATATCCGGTTATCCCGATTACCGACTTTCCCAAAATTTCAGGGGGGGCTAAGCCCCCTCCCCAGCCCTCCCTGTGGCTCCGCCCCTGCAGGTGGAACAGATGCAGATCAGTTCCCACTTGAGCTGTTCTGCATTCACCTGGCGATCCAGGATGTGGCACCCCCTTAACGCCCAACAGGATGGGAGTTTCTCAACATCTGTCCGGTGATCCGCCAAACCCTCGCTGCTGCTGCTGCTGCCTCCACAGTGCCGGATGACAGGCAGCCACGTTGCAGCAGCATAGCCACCACCGCCACCACCACCGCCTGGCTGGTAATGGGAGATCTGTGTGTGTGTGGTGCTCAGGAGGCGGACGTCCCTGATCTGGAGATCGATGTGGAGGAGCTCCTGGAACTGGACGAAGATGAGGACAAGGCGAAGAAATTGCGGGTATGATACCGCCACCACCGGCCGTGTAAATTACCGACGTGTCTCCCGCGTGCGTGGACGTGGGAAACACTATTGTTTGCCGTGCTCGGGAATACAACCCAGGTCGCCGGGTTCGCAGTGCCCTAATCACTACGCCACAGACCCCCACAGAGTTGCTCGCTATTAGTACTTGCCCCAATATTCTATGTGGAATATGCAGGAGACCTTTGTGTATTGTGGCGATGCCATGGTGGAGTGGTTAGAGAACTGCACTCTGAACCCAGCGACCTGAGTTCGATTGCCGGCCATAGATAACATAACACTATGTAACACGATTTTTGTACCTGGGTGTTATTTTCTAATTGCTTATGCCTCAAAAGTATAGCAAATGGCTATTATTCCCAACAAACTTTGCTTTTGTGAACAGGACTTCACGTGAAGGAATGACACAAATGCACACCACGTTTTCTCATTGAAAATAAGTAAATTTCAAAATATCACTGTCCTGGTCACAAAAGCAAAGTTTGTGTGGAATAATAGCTATATTCTGTACTTGTGAGGCATAAGCAATTACAAAATAACACTACCCAGGAACGATACGTTTTTTTTTGTAATCGGCGAGTGATAGCTGAACCTCGCCTAGGTCGATATGGCCTTAAATGAGTACTTGGTGCAGTGTGTAAACATAACCATGGGGGAGGCAAAGCGGCTGACTCTCGCGATAGCCACACCAGTCCGTCATGTGCCATGCACGCTCAAAGCACTTGCCCCCGACAGCCTGCTAAAGGCCACATTGAAGCTTTGGAGGGGCGGTGGGGGGGGGAGTCCACTTGGAGGTTGTTTATAAAACCACAGGGGCAGTTCCGTCCACAGCGGTACTTTAGGTAGCTTTACACGATGGTTAGGCAATTTGCTAACATATCAAAAATAATTACCTGCAATCATCGCTCGCTCCTGTGAACACACGGCAGGCACCGTCAACTTCAATCGCTACCAATGAGATCTTCTCTCAAAACTGCTCTAGAGGAGTTTTACACACCTAGCTGCCACTGCTATTCCTTGGCGTAAAATAAAATAAAATGTTTCGCTTCGGATGACGCTGCAAAGTATTATCTGTATTTTGATTTAGCATGCTGATCTTAAAGGTGCTTTGAAAAATTTGATACTCCGACTGATGCTTCTGTTGTTGTGGAGTAACTCATGCAGCCAGCTATGGCTCTAGGGTTTGGTGTTACATGTTATTTATGTAGTTTATTGTAAAAAGTTCGGTCACAGTCCCTGTGATCACTGTTACGTTGCAATTATGGCTTAATTTTTTGGTGATTTCGAAAAGTTTTTTGGTTTGGACATGTTTGTTTTGTTGTAGTACGGAGTTAGACTGATGGCCTTAATCTAAGTTTTCTTGTGGTTGTTGTTGTTGCTATTTGACTTGCATCCCACTGGGATTTTTGCATACAGCGTTGGTGTACGGTGCTTTTTCGGAAATATTTTGCTGTTTTTTTTCCTGGATTTTCCGTTTGCACAGTCAACACATAGTCACTTTAAGATGTTTTTCTTGTTCGTGTTTTTTTGTTTGTTGTGGTTGCACCCGATTCAAGAGCTGAATGGCTCACAGGACTATACCAAGATAAATAAATAAACTTAAACTGAAATAAATAAACTGAAACCGTCCTGAAATAGAATGGTGAGGCTTTCCAGGGTAAATAGGCAGAGCAATAATAACAGCCCTTTGCAATAGTGTAGGGAGACCCCATGGAATCGTAGCATTAGCAAGGGCACAGGAGATTCCATTAGTGAAGCAATCATTCAATGTCGTCTATTTAATAACGCCGACCAGAGCCCATTTGAGGGCTCTCACCACACCTCTCTCTCTTCCGAGTGGGACTCAAGGGAGACCTGGGTGACCCAAGCGATACAGCGCACGCGCGATGCACGGTCAAACCAACGTTGCTCGGCGATAGGAGGACAACGATAGTGATGTTAAAGCAATTTGTAGCGGGCACAATAATTCGCGGACATAAATGACCGTGACCGGGGTGCGGAGGCAAGTTCAGCGTCGCTTGAAAGCCAGGCGGGAGGGGCGAGGCCTTTATTAAAGAGGTGGCTCTTGATAATCGACGCAGACTGAACTCCGCTGTGAATTTGCACGGGGATGATGGGGGCGCCTTCCAGACGGTGTTTTTGCCGCCACGGAGAAGCTATGGGCAGTGACAACGGGCCCCCCACCCGGTCCTCGGTGTAGAGAGGAGGTCGTGAGTTGTGCCGCTTCTGCTGTGGAGCGTTTCACCGTGAGCTGTCGTGCAGGAGGGGTGACGGGAGTGGAGAAATGACGCCTGGCAGTGCTCACGGTCCTAGTTCTTGGTGTTGGGAGGAGGTTGTAAGTCACGCTGCTGTAGAGCGTTCCACCGCCAGATATACAAGGTGGTCCAGATGTCTTGTGACACACCCCCCCTCCCCCCATTTGATTCTCTAAGTAAGGTTTATTTATTTAAAACTGAAATTAATATGCAATGTTCGGCGTCAATTCATTGGAAGTAAAGGGGGGGGGGGTGTCACAAGACATCTGGACCACCCTGTAGTGCAGCTTCTTGGGAACTGCAGTCCCATCGTCCGTTCTAGCGACGCGTCATGCCCAAGCCCCGCCCGCTCTTCACTTCACCTCCGAAATCCGCTCTTCGTGTTGCCGTACGAAAGAAGAAGGGCAAGATTCCACGCTAGCTGCTGCGGCACCCCGGTTGGATTACGGATTAATTAAGGCGGGGAAGAAGGCTTAGCCGGCCTGAAATAACACACCAACCCAACACGTGCCGCGTGCACAACCCTCGCCACCAAACAGAGAAAACGCACCGCACGAGTCTCCACGAATGCCCGTAATTTACGGCCGGCGTACCTCATCGCCAATTCTAAACAATTCGGTCGGCGAGCGAGGGAGAGGGAGGGAGGGGGGGAGGTTGGGGGTGATGTCGCAGTTAGAGCCGGCTGCCCGACGTTGCGTCGGGCAGAGATTTTTGTGGCCTTGCCCTAAGAAGGCAATTGCTCGTGCCGTTTTCACTTTAATGGGTCACAGACTGCAAGGGCAAGTGCCGTTAATGGCAACTTTGTGTTTTGGTTTTTTCTGATGCTTTCCGGCCGGAGGTCGAAGGCGTTCTTGCAGCGGTTCTCACCCGGTGGGTCGCGCGGTTTCCGTCTAACAGGAGGGGCTTTTCTGGGGGGCGGGGTAGGGGGAAGTTGGGGGTAGGCTACGGCATGGATACCGTGCAGGGTTAGGATCATAATACCGTCAGACATCCATTTGTCTAGCCGTCTGTAGCTAGGGTTCAGGGTAACTCAAGTAATGATATTGAGCGAAGTTTTAGTTTTTTACGTTCCGTTGCTGTTCGGGACTTGCACTTTAGAAAGAAGAAAAAAACAGATATTGAGTCAAGGTTTGCCCTAAACTTGGTTTTAAGAAACCAGCGATAACGGGTTGTCTCTTGCAGCCAAGTGGATGACACATCTCGCCATGTGATTGCCTGGCTCGCGACTGAAAAGGTCACATGGTACAATCGCGGTCAGGGGGTCGACTCGCAGCCCGTCGTCCCTCTGGCATTGGTAAACAACAACGATAACAAAAAAATGAGCACCGGTTTTGTGGGGGAAGTTAACCGTGGTTGTCCTATGGGATGACTGCCCTGAAGCGCTCTTGCGGCTCGCAGACCTGGCCACGTTGCCACAGGGCCGAATAGAATAATGATGATTGATAGTTAGCAGCTGAGGAAGTCTCAACAATGCGGTCCGTTGTTATGAATCTATAGCTTTGGGAGCTAGGTCCACGAGCCCATGGTGGGAGATGTGTGGCTCCCAGCCGTCGCCAAACAGGAGACGGCTTGTGCACAACGCACGTGTGTAACGCGTGACGCGGACCGCGACGGCCCACCGATTGACAAACGCCTCTAAGTTGCGTTGTCATCTTGTTGGCAGAAAGCGAGACGTTTTAATGCGCAAGTTCTCGCAGCTGCTCTTAACCTGGAGCGCACCTCCCCTCCCCAGCCTCACCCGGGTAGCATTGCCTTCGCCACGCACTACTGCGGGCATGTTCAGGAAAAATGAGACATCTCTCTGCATGCCTTACCACTACTTGCATCATCAGCAGCAGCCGCCACGATGTACCTACTTGCCAGAATAGAACCACAATAACTTGCTGGTCTCGCCAAGGGACATAAACCATCACACGAACTCCGGTCATCCTCACAGCAGCAGCAGATTTTGGCTGCTGGCCATCGAACAAAGACGGTCACCGCATCGCGCGCTTTCAGGTGCGCTTCTGCGACCGTCTGGAACGCTCTTCCCTCCAATATTAGGAGGCCACTGGACCTATGCACTTTTAAAACTAGATTGAAAACTAATTTATCTTCTTGGTTCTTTCGGTAAAGTCACGTAGAATGATAATAAAACAAAATAAGACGATGAAATTCTCACGACGTTTCGGCCACAACACAAGTAGCCTTCTTCAGGTGAAGGAACAGAACTGTCGGGATGACAGCGCTTCAATGAACGCTGCTAAGATTCGCAGCGTCTTTTAAGCTAGGTGGGAGAAGTAAAGCACCTCGACAAAGGAGTTTACATATCAAACAGGAGAATTTAGCATTGAAATAGCTGTGAATGCTAAATTCTCCTGTTTGATATGTAAACTCCTTTGTCAAGGCGCTTTACTTCACCCACCTAGCTTAAAAGACGCTACGAATCTTAGCAGCGTTCATTGAAGCACTGTCGTTCCGACAGTTCTGTTCCTTCACCTGAAGAAGGCTACTTGTGTTGTAGCCAAAACGTCGTGATAATTTTATTGTCTTATTTTGTTTTATTGTTTTATTCTCATTCTACGTGACTTTACCGAAAGAACCAAGAAGATGAATCCTTGCAGTCACGAAAGCTTTAAATCGAAAAATGAAAACTAATTTCTTTAGAACTGCTTTTTGTATTTAGTTTGGTGTCCTTCGCCCGCACCTCCGATGAGCATGGTTGGCTACGTACTGTGCGAAAGAAGTTCAACGTACTTACATATATACATAGCGCACGTATTTTGTTTTAAGAGTACCGTAAATCTTGCGTCGCTCTACTCTATAGAATTAACTTCCCACACGAAGCTGAAGGGTATAATAAAAAAGTTATTTGTCATTCCACTTGAGGATGAAGGCCTCCCCACGCCGTGTCGGTTAAGCGCACCACCTTGGACAGTGCAGGTCGATGAAGGGGAAACCCAAGAATTTGGATTCATCCATAATGAAGGTTCTTTTTGGGGGGTTTAGATCGCGTAAATATATAAATGTGTCGTGAAACCCGCCACCACCCGACACAGCCAACTAGTAAGGGTTGTCACGTAAACAGAACATGCCAATTTGTACAGCACACTAGTACAGCACACTAGTACAGCACACCAGCACACCGGTGTGCTGTACTAGTGACCAATTTATGCGATCTGACCCAAAAAAAAACCTCTCATGGATGATATTGCTCGCGAAAGCCTACGTGTTCAATTTGGATTCAGATATCACTCGACCGAGTTGATAGCACAGTGTGCTAACCTACTGCCCCACCACTCTCCCATAACGATCTAGCGCTTAACGTGCTATACTTTCTAACGGTGATCGATGTTCATCTCTCTTTTTCTCACTTGCAGGTGATCCTGCAGGGCTGCAGTAAAAACCCAGAGGTGAATGTTTATCTTTACTCATGGGAATGCTTGTTGTAATTGTGGTGTAGTGAATGCCCGCATGGTGAATGTATATTGAATTCCTGCGTAGTAGTCAATGTATAGTGAATGTCTGTGTATTAAATGTCTGTGTAGGGACTGTATAGCGAATGTCTTGTGTAGTATATGCATCGTGATTGTGTAGCAAATGTACAGTGACTGTCTGTGTGTTGATGGGTCGTGTAAGAACTACCTACGCCCTAGAGACAGACGCGTGAAGGAGGCGTTGTCCGCTTTAGTTTCCACAACGAGCCTCGCGCGAACCACGTGCGAGGCTCGGGATCCGAGGGATTTTTTTGCGAACGGCTCGGGCGAACTGACCCGAATCACCCACCACCCTGCCACCCCCACCTCTAAACCAGTTAAAATTCCTCCGGCTCACCGATTATTGTCACCTGCTTGCGGTCTATCATTCACAGCTGCTCATGTTGTTTTTTTTTTTTGGGGGGGGGGGTGGTCAGCGTAGGCCGTGGGACAGCAACGAGTGTGGAAACTACCCTTGGTTGACGTTCAGCCCACGCTATGCAGACTGCTGCCGCTTGCATGCTCGTGTGTCGGCCGCGACAGCCGCGCGAACGGCACGGGCGGTCGAAACAGCGGAGCGAGTTTTCTTGAATCCCCCTTCGCCTCGCAGAATAAATGGGTGCGCCGCAGCCGATCGATCGGCAGGCCGCGTGTGGTGGGGCAAAGCGTGGGCGACTCCCAGCCCTTCCGAGACGCCTGGCGAGCACGGAAGAGCGGGTCAAAATTTTCGTTTCCGTAATGGAATCAAATAAATCGGTAAAACAATAAAAATGACCGTTTAAAATCGCAGAGCGGAAGACTCGAAACCCAAATGCCATTGTGGAAGGAGGAGCTCTGTAGTGGAGGCCCCTTCCGCCAGCGGTGGCGTGAGCGGGCAGTTGCAGGGCCGCGCCTCTGCCGTTTAACATCGTGCCCTTCGATTGTGCAAGCGTAAGGGCGGCCGTTTGCGCGAATACCGCTCCAAGTCTCGGTATTCGTCGTGTCTCCCCGACCTTTCCCGTCGCCCCTTTGGGGTGGCTGGGGGCGGCGGGGCGAGGGGGGGGGCATTATCGGCGTTGTCCAGAGGGGCCGCGCGAGTGACCGCCGGCGTTGTTGCGCTGCGTTTCTTCTCCGTTGCGTCCAGGGCTTCATCCGTGAGTTGCTGCAGAGGCTGAAGAGTGTTCGCAAGCTGAGCACGCCGCAGAAGAAGTGAATCCTCGTGTGCGGCGCGCGGTGATGAACGACGCGCTTGAACGGCTTCTTTCGCGTCCCCTTGCCGTAGCCGCATAGGCAGCGTCTTAAAGAGGAAAAGATCAAACACAACGGACAAAAAGTCAATCAAAGTTTCTTTAATCAAACGTATTGCTCTGGCCGTAATTCGCACTCTCATAAGCAAACGGGAAATGCATTGAAGTTGTTTTTTTTTTATTAAGCAACTGCTACAGGAGCTCTCTCTGGAGCTCTTGGTCATGGAGAGGCCATTCCGCCAGCAGTGACGAGAGCAAGAAATTGCAGGGATGCACCTTTACCTTTTTTAAAAAAAGCCCGAGGCACCAGGCCCCGGTGCGTTGTGAATTTATGACTGACGGCAGCAGTCACGGCATTCGCAAGTCTTTCCAATATTCTTACGTCACCTTCCACACGTGCGCGCACTTTTAAATCATCTCGATTTAAAACGAATCTTTTTAGAACTGATTTTTGTGTTTAGTTTGTTGTCCTTCCTCCTCCCCCCCCCCGCCACACCTCCCAATTAGCAAGGTTCGGCTACGTACGGTGCGAAAGAAGTTCAACATACACACATACGCGCTTGCATTCCGCTCTGTTGAGACGCCACCAGTGCGATCCTACAGGCGTTCAACGCGGCCACAGGGAGAAGAAGAAGCGTGAATCAACGTTTATTCTGGCAGATCTCTTCATGTATGTACGGGCTCCCAGATGACGGTCACGCTCGACATCGCAGCCTCGTCATCCACGTTTCCCAACGAAGGTCGACGGCGTGAATGCGCGAGTTTGTAGCACGCGGGCTTCCGAGAGCGATATTGTCCACGATTTGTTGTGGGGTTGGATCGCGTGGTCAGGCCTCGAGCTCTGCCCATCTGCCTCCAGCATGGCGACACGCCGACTCCCGTGAACATGATCCAATTTGAACGAAACCTGTACTGCGATAGTCCTCCCTCTTGTTGTTGGTGTGCAGATCCCCTCCCGCAGGTTTGCAAGGCCACAATGGCACACAGAGGGATCACATGTCCTCACACCACGAGTCAATGCGGTTGTTAGTGTAAGGCTATTTGTTTCACGATGCGTCCAAGTGAGTTTCGCTTGCTGCGTGTGTGGAATATATGTTGGAACTTCTTTCGCACCGTACGTAGCCAACCGTGCTAATTGGAGGTTGCGTATCGGTGACAACGTTAGGTCGGTAACGCCTTGTAAAAAAATTAATACCGGGACTGGATTAAGTTTTGATGGACGGAGGGGGGGGCCTGTCCATGGCTGTTATAGTTTGTTTGCGTGGTGGGAGGGAGGGAGGCATTTTCTGTTGGTAAATGTGAACTTTCAAGCCAAATCAAAAGTTTTAACGAACAAAAAACAAGGTTCAGTTCGGGACACAGACGACAGTGTGATACGCAGAATGACGCTGTGGCATTACCTACCAGATTACACTGTATGGGGATGTATTATCATGCTGGAGTATTGCGTTTCAACCATTATAAAGCAGTCTTTTAACATGTATAAAATTATATTTATATTTGGGGTTCCTCAACATCCCATGTCTCGGGTTCTCGTTAATCCGGCCCTGGTTGAAAAAAAATAATAATAATTGTATTTAATATGGCGCCAATCATGCAAATCGGATCTCAGAATCAGAATATTTCTACTGGAGGAATCCGATGAGCTATGAAGCTCTTTTTTACAGGTGTCCAGTAGGGGTGGGTGAGAACGTGACAACAACAAGCAACACAGAAGCACGATAGGAGTGCAAAGTATAGGTAGGGTAAATAAATCACTTAATAAAACATCCAAATGAAATGAAACTTTTTTTTAATTTCTTTTAACCAGGTAGAGCCCACTGAGCCGTTAGCTTCTTTTTCAGAAGCGACCTGGCCACAAATGATAAGCTCAGCGACGTAGCTTACCTCAAGTCGCTGAACAATGCGAACCATAGTTTAACAGTTTAACACGTAGTATTGTTCATAACAGAGGTTTTGGGTTCGATCGCGTTATTTTAAATGTGTCGCGTTCACAACAACAAATACCACTGACGTGACCGCCACAGAGACTCGACACAACAAGACAACTGGTTCGTGTGGGGCGTTGTGGTGGGGGAGGTAGGGGGGAGTGACAAGTGTAACGCAACTTGTGTGCCAGGTCTCGCCTTGTCCAGGGCAAATGCCGTCTCAGTCTCCTGCAGCTGCGGTTTTCGCCGAAACTCATCGCTCAAAGGTGTCGCTCGTGTGCCTAAATGCGTCCGCTCACCCGGCTCGCAGAGTAATCGTAATGACAGAGTAGTAATAATAGCACCGACATCACTGGCACGAGATAAATAAGGGGGGCTTCCTGCTGTTAAAATCTCAGTGCTGGTTTTTAATCAAAGCCTTGGGGGGGTTTGGGCTTTTCCGTCTGCATATCTTTGGTACGATCCCGCCGGCGCGGGCAGTTTGAAACAACGGTGGAGAGGTTTCTTGAATTCCATGAGATGCCTCGTACCCGCGGATTAACGTCGTGCCGGTAGCACAATTATCCATAAAGAAAAAAAGTGGGAAAAGACCAAAAAATAAAAACCTCGCATTTTTATCATTGACCGTGTGTGGTTGTGTGAAATATAATCCAATTTGTGGTTGGGCCCACTGCTGTGTTAAGTTTTATGACCTTTAGCTGTTGCGCCTGCGTTTTTTTGGCGCTACGTCAACCGGTTAACTAAGCGTGTTCTCCATGGTAGACCTGCATGCTGGTGGATCCCTTTTCTAATACAAGTTGAGCAATGAGGTTTACGGAAAAACACTCGGTGATGCTGTGGTATGCAGCGCGATATAATTTTCACTTTAATTGTATCATCTGTATTGCCAATATATACAGGGTGTTAAATCGCTGTATCTCTGCAACCACGAACCGCCCATGAATGAAACTCTTACCACTTTAAAGGGCGGGGCATAGAGAGGGCGGGGCATAAGAGAGGGCAGGGCACAGAGAGGGCGGGGCCTAGAGAGGGCGGGGCCTAGAGAGGGCGGGGCATAAGAGAGGGCGGGGCATAAGAGAGGGCGGGGCATAGAGTTTAAAATGATGACCGCTAGATGCCTCTCCCAGCGCACAAACAGCCCTTAGCCTCGGTCATTGGCAAGACGGTGACCACCGCAACACAAGGGGCGTTCTGCAGTTCAGCAAGACTGAATGCCTAATTGCGGTGCGGCGTGCGTTTCAACGGCGTTTTGGCATTGATACACCACTGTCAAAGAGCGTTTGTCGTTGGTGCCGATGATTTGAGGACACGGGCTGCTGTTGATGTAAGGGGAAGAGTAAAGGGTGACCAGGAACCTCGGAGCAAAGCGTGAGAAGAGAGGCGTTTGGGACGAATTCAACTATCGTCTCGATGTTGTCCGTACAGCAGGTGGAGGGCGCACGTAGAGCATTTATAAAATGGTTAGTACAACTTGATAACTCATTGAACCGTTTGTAACTTTTCGTGTAATTGTAACATGTTGCCATCGTGAAATATACTGCTTTGAAATTGGTTCCATCATTTTTGAAACACCCCGTATATTTTAGTGCGTGATTGGCGTTGTTCGGTTCGCTTTTCTACACATTTTCCAACATTTTTAAACGATATAATGTAATTTGTTTTTTTACTAATAACCCTCCATCACCCAACAGAGCCAATCAAATCAAGCTGCCACGTGGGCAAATATCCCAAGAGATTGTTTTTTTTTTTGTTATCAATGGGCCCAGGTGAGGCTGGATGTAACGTCCAGTGACAAACTCTCTCTGTTCCGTCCACGACAGCACGCGCGCTCAAAACACCACAGGGTCGTGAACTTTTGAAGCAAAGTCCGAACAAAACGTTGTCCCTTTGCGGCGGGAAACTTAAAAAAAAACTGTTTTGTATTTATGTATTGCTTTATTTATGAGTGACACTGTTTTATAAATAACTGCACTCCTGTTTATATTTTAGCCTGCTGTAAGTTACAAAGCGTGGCTATTGTTAACACTGTTTTTTTTAAATATAGTAACCTAGCTGCCTTAGTGTACGTTATGTTTTGATGTTTAACAATGTAGGGGTTGAGTTTTACAGGAAAGCCATAACAGACGTTGCTGTGGCGGTGAGCAGTTGTGACGGCTCTAAGGTCACGTGGCGAGTCGCGGTTTCTCACCATCCCTCGGCTGATCTCTTGTCACGATTCCGGCTCACGATTTTTGGTTGGATGATTTTTTTTTTTAACTTTGTCTCGTTCACGCTACCCCACCCCCACCCACCCCACCCACCCCCCGTCTCGTTTGTATCGTTTGTACTCCATGCCACGTTTGTATTTTGACTTCCTAATTTCACCCGTCTTGCTTTGTACAGTCTGTTTACGTAACGAGCATCTCATTTGTGGCGTCACTTAACAATAATGATGATGACATTCATAGCTCGACAGATTTTGCAGCAATTCTGGAGGTGCGGAGCCAGGCTCAGGTCTGCTCCAAAGCCCTGGGACCCAACACAGATGGAGGCCTTTTGATGGTTCTTGAAAGTCTGAGTGCGTTTGATGTTGCGGATGCCCCAAAAAGGATTTAGAGAGCTCCACACCGAGGTGGCGATTGCTGAGAATCCTACACAGTGCCATCACAAGGGGAGAACCGGACAAATAGACAATAATAGGGGGGTTTTCCCCTTTTTTTTCGCAACAAAACTGAAACCTTTTTAAGAGGAATCATGTCTGCATTAACCACAATACTTGTGGCATTGTCCTTGAAACTGATTGGTCCACACCAGAGACGGCTTTGTTTTGAGCCTCGTCTCAATTGTTGCCAGAAAAAAATGGGGGAAAAACCCCTATTATTATATTTTGGTACTGGCAAAAGGACGCTTGTTTTTTTGCTGGTATTGAAACGGCCGTATGACGCATGGTCCCGTAAACTCAATTTCCCTGCTGTGCAAGAATGCACGGGGTAAACCGTCTGGGTTGACAGGCATGTGCACAGCGCGACTCGTTTGTATGTTGTTATTGTTTCGTTATTTTTAGTTGTTGCCTCAATTGGTGCCATTTCCCAAAACGAACAGCCGCGTGTAATTCTACGACAATTCGCACCTGCAATGAATCGATCCCCGCGTGTGCGTGATTCCGATGCAGTGTCTTCGCGAGCGCAACAATGCGTGTTTGGTTCTCCAAATCGATGCATCCTTTACGTGCCTCCCATAATCGGTATAATTCCTCGTATCCGTCACGATTACACATTCAATGTATTTTTCCGCTGGCAAATGGCAATAAAATATAAAGTACCAAATTTTCAGGGTCTCAAGAGATCCTCCACTGCAGCTCGAGGCTCTTGGTGGTGTTTGTGAGTTGTGATGACCTTTAGACCGCTGATGTGTGTGCGTGTGTGCGTACTGAAGAAGGGTCAGTGCCCGAAACGTCGCCTATTATATAACCGACAAAAGTCTTTTGTGAACTGTGCTTGTCCACCACTGCAGCGGCAGCGTCATCAAATAGTTACAGGGACTCCTCTACGAACGAGTTAGGTTCCAGAGGTTTGTTCGTAAGTCCAATTTTACTCCTGTCGATTTCAGACAAGTTGTAAGGCATGTACACTAAACACGGGAAATTACTTTTTAAAAAGTTGTATCATATCCTGTAGATGCCACTGGTTCTTCACGTTCTGCATGTGGAGATGGCACCACCACCATCTATTGCGCAGCGATTGAACTTTAACGACTCTCGTTCCGTAAAGGGAACTGGACATACGGACAGGTTTGTTCGTATCTCTGAAAGTTTGTAAGTCGAACGTTCGTAAGCAGAAAAGTCCCTGTTATACAGTAATCTTTTCAAACACGTCGCTCATAACTTCTACAATCCTCAAGCCTGACCCACGGGGTCACGGAGATGTCATTTATCAATGTTCCCATTGATAGTCGTAGGGGTTGCTGCAGTATGTACGTGTGTGTATGTTGAACTTCTTTTGTACCGTATGGAGCCAACCGTGCTAATCGGTGCGGAAAAAGAACCAACAAATTAAACACACAAAAAATGTTTTAAAGAAGTGAGTTTTCGATCTAGATTAATTAAAAGTGCATAGCTCTCGGTGGCCCCCTGATATCGGAAGGAAGAGCGTTCCAGACGGCCGCAGAAGCGCATCCAAATGCGAGTGATGGATGGCTACAGAGGGATTTTCTGCGTCCTGAGCGACAACGCACGACCACCACTTGAACACGCAATGTACCGCTGCTACAAGTGATCAACATGCACGTACAAAGATCCCCCGTAATGTATAGCCTTTAGCAAATTGTTGGGTCGGGTGCTGTTAGCGAGCACCTATAAAGGCTGGTAGGGCACACGAAGGGGGTGGGTGGACAACACCCCGCCCGGCCGCCTTTGTCTCCCCAGTACTCATGTTTACACATCTCACCAGGTACTTATTCGAGGCTGAGTCGACCTAGGCTAGGCCCTGTGACCGGTTCAAATATTCCCCACAAATACATTAACAAAGACAAAGACCCCCCCCCCCCCACCTTTCGGCTTAACAGACTGTTGGGGCAAGTGCTGTGAGCGAGTAGCACCTATGAAGGCCGGCACGGCACACGAGGGGGGTGAGTAGCCAACACCACGCCCGACCGCCTTTGTCTCCCCAGTCGCCCTAGGGGAGGAGGCCCCAGGTCCGGTTCAGATAATCGTCACTTGGGTTTGCCACGAGCAGGACTCAAACTCAGGTTGCCAGGTTCGTAGCGCAGCGCGCTAACCGCTGCACTGCCACTCGCCACTATTGACAAACACAAAATAAAGACAAAGATCCCCCGTATAGCCTTAACAGACTGTTTGGGGCAAGTGCTGTTAGCGACCACCTATGAAGGCCGGCACGGCGCACGAGGGGGTGGGTGGCCAGCACCACTCCCGGCCGCCTTTGTCTCCCCAGTGGCGTTGTTTTACGCATCGCGCCAGGTTACTCATTTGAGGCTGAGTCGACCCTGCAGTCGGCGCACATCCTCCCCCCCCTGCCTCGCCCACCAACAGCCCCCATCACTCAGTTCCTTGTCCCTCCTGACCCCCCCCCCTTCTCCTCCCCCCATGCAGTCTGCGGTCTGTCGGACGAAATTTCTTAACCGATGTCTCTCCCACCGCTCCGTCCGTCCGGTCGTTCTTGTTGATAAACAAAAATCGATTGTTAACGCGTTTCACTTTCAGCCGCACATCCGATGAGCACGGTTGGGCTTACGTACGGCGCGGAAGAAGTTCAACATACGTACATACACACGACACATAACAAAAACAACAACTTCCGATTCACACATCTCACTACAAATACGGGTTGGAGGTATAGAGCACCTGGGCCCAACCACACCCCAAGCAGCGTGCCGATTGATGTAGGGAGCTCCAAAATTGTTAGGCTACTCTGGGGCCGTCCATAAATGACGTCACGCGATTTTGGACGATTTTTTGACCCCCCCCCCCCCCCACGTGACACGGCGTCACAAAAAGTCAGACCCCCCCCCCTCAAATATGACGTCACAAAGCTCTGCCCCCCCCCCCCCCCAAATAAAACATGCTTCAAATCGCTTTAAACTATTGTCATTGTAGTGCGTATTTGCGTATTTAATGCGGCGCTGCACTC